TTTTTTCTATCTTACTATAAGTAAATTTAATGCAAATTAAACTTTACTTAAAAATTATCAAATTTGGATTATTCATTAACAATTTGTTGTAATATACCAAAAATTATTCATAGTTTTCTCAGCTTGAACACTCAATCGAAAGATAAAAACAAAATCGTATGTTCAGTAGCTCTATGTATGTATATCTTATCGAGTACACGTTGTTATAATCACATGGGACTACAAAAAAATGCCAGCACAACAACAACATGAACAGTAATTTAACACTCGTATATCACATGAAATATCATTTCCGTTAATATAGAGCACATTCAACTAAGCAACAATTGACTCAGCATTTGTCTGGTTTTTGTTTTCTCCACAACATTTAACTGTCTCTTATAATTATATAAAATTAGAATAAACATTTCAAAAATTGTTAATTTGCATTAATAAATCAACATATTTTTAAATAAAAAAAAAATAAAAAAAATTAAGTTTAACCTAGAGATGTGAAACAATTACTAACTCACGAGGGTTGCTTACAAAATTTGCGCGCTGCAAAGAAATTATACTGATAATTAATTCATAACTATTTTATTTATTCAAATATATTTACGTTAAACTCAAACATTTCTCAAACCACCCACGCAATTGGTTCCTACTTGAAAGTATTCAAGCTGCCCACGCAGCCACTAACAAAGCTTATTTAAAGGCACTTCAGCAATCTAATCAATGCGAGCATTTTGTTTTCGGGTCTGTTTATGGCCGACCACAAGGCGAGTTTATTGCAATCGAGCACAAAAATTCTATCGAATAATTATGACTTCTTCGATATTTACAATTTGGCCTGGTAATTTCATTATTGCTTTCTTCATTGCAATAATGCGTAAAGTGCACTCAAAAATGTCCTTGAAGGACTTTAGTACAATGTCAACAAAATTCATTTGACAAGCCAGAGACCGAGTAAATTGGCAACAGGGTCGCTGGAAATGATGGATACGCCAAACGCAGCACACAACACGGTTCCGTTTCCGCTTTCGTTCCGTTCAGCTTCAATTTCAGCCTCAGATGACAAGCTACGCCCACTGACAAGCTAGACATGTGCTCAAGTGTTGGAAAACGTGCGGCAATTTGATGTTTGACAGATTAATGTTTGTTAGAGATGTGACAATTATTATGCAAAATAAGTTCCATAGATGAAGACGTTAAGTGAACTACTTAAACAGCAATCACTTGAGCTCTTCATAAGAAATGCTCTCTGTTTAGTTATGTAATGAATCATGATTAACGATTAATTATATTCTATGCTATAACAGAAATGTGATATATGAATAATTGAATGTTGACATATCATATATCTGTTTCATTCAGTTAATCAGCTGTTCACAAAATTTATATTATATTCAGCTTTTTAAATGTTTTTACGAATTATTTTTCATATTCAGCTATTCAGCTGTTAGTAATGATTGAGTGAAGAACTGTTCAATAGAAATCAATTGTAAACAAGCTACAGAGCCAACATAGTACATAGTACATTTATAAACTTGAGCTTATTCAGCAAAATGTCGTTCATAGAATTTCTTTGCTTTACTTAATTTAAAGCAGATTGAAGAATTTTATACGTAAAATGTATATACATATATTATTAATGATATTTTTCTTTGCAAGTTCCATTTACCTTTGTGTGCCTTTTCGAACTGAGAACTTTGCAGTCTTGTTTAGGTCTTATTTACTCTTCTATTTGCAAGTTTTGCAATTCAATTACATTGGCAAAATCCTCGACTAAACCGAATGAGACCCTTGAGCCATGGATGCATGGCTGAATGCCTTTGGTGCAATTATCAAGTTCGATGATAGCAAAACAACAAAAGAGATAACAAAGCCAGAGGCAACGAGGCGATGACACAAAAACAAATAAACAAACAAGAAATGTTTATGTTTAAAGAAACTTTTACTTTTTATACTGAAGAAAATTCAGTCAAATTGCATGGCCCTTTTGAGTAGGGTGGGATGGAAAAGGGATGGAAAATGAAAGGCGTACCAGTAGGTGTTAGCGACTCATTTATACTTCTTCTTCTTCTTCTACTACTATAGCTGTCAAGTGGTCGCTGCAATTAGTTGTTTGCGACATTTACAGATTGCAAACTTTCCGCTTGACTGCGTAATGCTTGAACAAGAAGAAGAAGAAGAAGAAGAAGAAGGAGAAGTAACTTTGTCTTCGTCCCTGATTTAATTTCGCAATTAAAAACTTTTCATAATTGCAAGCGCCAACACTTGCGCAGCTCGTTAACTGTTTGTCAAACCAGCAACAACAACAACCAACTGGTGACAAACCAGGTGCAGTGGCTTCTTTGCCTAGCCCTTTTGGCCAGCTTTGACAGCTGACGGTTAAGCGGCATTGACATTGCCACTAATTAGCAAACATTTCCCGCTTTTGCGCCGCGCATCAATTTATTTCATGTCCATCAAAGCGTATAATTAAACTGCCTATTAAATATGACAGTTTTTTGTGAAGAGTAGTTTAATATCTAAAAATAGCTAGATAATTTGAGATATACATATTTATATACATAGATTTGATACAGATATCAACTTGGCTGTTCTATTCTGTCGTAATTGCCTTCTACTCTTTAGAGCAACGCATTACACGCTCTTCACCTCTCTCACTAATACTAGTACAGCAACAATATTAGTGCAAGGCTGAGCGCTTGCCTAACATTGCTGTAAAAACAATTTCATCCAAGTGAGTTTGCGCTCTCATTTCTGCTTATGCTCACTGCGAGAGAGCGAGAGAAGAATTGTCGTTTCTGAATCTGGCCTTGAATGTTGCTGAGAGAGTGAGATGGCAACGTAAGCCCTTTGAAAGCGACGCAGAGAAGAAGGCGACTGGAAAAAAACACAAGGTGAAGGCAGCTGATCGGGAATTCGTTGTCTTGAGCAATTTTAATGGAAGGCGATAGTGGAAAAGAAAGACAGATAGAAAGACACAGCATGATATTCATATACACACACATATATTTATGGCGTCAGCTGCGCTAGACTGTCTGTCTGCCTGTTGTAAGCGAGGGTAGCCTGAAAAATGTTAAATATGCAATGTTAGATATGTGATTTGGCTTAAAGCGTGCATTCAAATCATCGCTATGAATTATATTGATGAATATATTGATACATGGATATATAGATATATATTTTTAGAGCAAATTTCATAATTCAGCTAAGTTAAATTATTAGAGTAGCTACTAACTGCCCTCGCAGTCTGCACACATTTGCAAACTGAAGCCAAAAACAGTTTTTGCTGTGCAGCGTTTGCATTGGCCATAAGAAAAATAAAAAACTGAAATGTCTGTCAAATGTGATAAAAGGCAACCCCAATCGGTTCTTATGTCATACTCTATCGTAGTCGTTGCTGGCGGTGTTGCTGTTCTTGTTGCTATTGCTGTTGCTATGCGAAATATTGGTGTCAATGTGTCAATATGTGAGGTATTTACACGTGCGCAATTACAAGCCATACAAACAACTGCACAAACCACTTCCGTGTGGGCGTGGGCAGGCGTGTGTGTGTTTGTTGGTATGCTTGCAAAGGGAAATGCTTCACACACACATATACACATTTGCATACAACACTTTACACATTCAGAACCATTCGCTGAAAGTAGCTTTTCATCTATTCTATAATTTTCTTTAGCAGTAAGGTTTTTAGTTTTATATAAGTTACTAATATTTTCTTACAAATATAGAAATTTTTAATATATAGTATTTATTTAATATAAAAAAATAAAAAAATCATAAAACTTATTTATAGAAAATCGCCTTTGTAAATTTTATTTTAACTTAATTTTTTTTTTAATTCTATATTTTATAATTTAAGCTCTACCCTTTATAAATTTATATTCTGAAATACTTATTTTATATAATTTCTTTGCAATATCCTACGTAATTGCATAATTTAAAAATTTCTTTTGCCAAACTCAATTTCGTTTATAATTTAAGCGTATTTTAATGGCCATAATTTGTTTTTTTTTTTTTACGCGAAAAGTATAAACTTAGTTTGCTCTTTGCCATAATTACGAACTGGAACTGCAAGTTTGATCGATTTGGCATCGCCTCTTTTAGCTGTTTGCATTTTAAAGACCCTCCCAGGTACTTCTTTGACTATGTTTTTGCCATGAATGCAAATTGGTGAAGGCTAACGTCTCAATGTCAAAGGCGCTTCCTTAATTGCTCTACCAGGCAAACGCAAACACACACACACACACACACACTTATACAGATGACTCAAGCAGAATGAGAGCGAACTCAAAGTTCAAGCGTGAACAATTTCCGCTCAAGTTTTCAGCAGGCATCAGGCAGAAACATAATCTCATTGATGTCAACTACATATATGTATATCTGTATTTGTACGAGGGTGGATTGATAATTTCAAAGGGAATAAATATGAAAAAGAGTTTTAAACTATATTTAATCTGAGCTTTAAGTAAGAAAAGATAATTTTTTGGCTTCGTTAATACAAGGTCTATGAAGGAATTGTCCATGAACGATCCTTGCATAGTTCCAAATATGTCAAACTGACTTACTAGATGAATGGATTTATTATAATCTATAAACAATATAGTTTACGACTCAAGTAGAAGCTCATAATCCAATTCATCGAAATTGAGCTGGCATTCGCAACGCTCTGATAAAGTAATAACAATTTCTGGAATAACGGTTTTCGTCATTGTTGTTTTGTATATCTATATATATATTTTTTTTTTTGCCCCCCAAAATTTCTTGTTGTCGTCGCTTTTGCGTCGTGACTGAAATTTCCATTGAAAATCACGCAATTTCTGCTGAATTGTCCTTGATTTTTACGATTGTTTTGGGTTTGTTTTATCTGTTTTGGTTTTTGTTTTGCGTCTTTTCGCCATTTGCGGGCCCACTGGCTGCATATAAATGGTCGCTTATGCTTTTGCTATTTAAGTTTGTTGTTCTCTTTATATATTATATATTCAAATATTCTTGACTTTCTTTTCTTGCAGATCTGCGCACCGCATTCGATCTATTAGACAGAAACCGAGATGGACGCGTTACGGCAAATGAATTGCAGTTTATGCTCAAGAATCTGGGCATTAATGTGCGTGATGAAATTATACATGATCTCATACGTGAGGCAAGCCATTCAGGTAAGTGCCGCCACTTGCGTCGAGGCTACTTCAGCACAAGCAACAACAACAACAACAACAAAAACAGCAGCAGTAGCAGCAACATCAGGAAGAGGGCCATTTCATAGAAATGTTGTCGCAGAGCCAAACAATAGTTCGTTGTGGCTAGACCGCTTTCGATGAATGTGTGTGTGTGTGTGTGTGTGGGTGGGTGGGTGCTTGTGTTTCTTGAAGTGTATGATTATGTATGTATGCGCGTGTGTGCATGTGTATAGTTAAACTAGAATTTTATGTTTTAAAAATAAAGCATTAATTAGGCTTAGTCCAGTCAGGCATTAGATATTACGTATACGTAATACGAATATGAATTTAGTAGTTTGTATTTATTTTGTATGTGTTTGTGTGTGGGTGTGCGTATGTCTGCAAGCTTATTCTTTTTGATATGTATGCATTTAGTTTCACTAAACTAAACATGCATAGAGCTCTGCCAACAAAGTCGTTGAATATTACGTATACGCAATGAGTAAGCACGTTTATATTCTGTGTGTTGCCATTGTATGTGTCTGTGTGATATATAAATTATATATGTAGATGTATCTACCTGCATTTATTCAAAGAACATCAAACAATACGAAAGTTGTTGCAGCAAACGGCATTAAATATTACGTATACGCCACAGTGATGCCGCTTTGAATAGTTTTGTTTATATAATGCTAAATGCAATTGTTTTAGTTTATAGTGTTTTGCCTTTTTTTTACATTTTTTCAACAATATCTCAATGCTCTTATGCAATTTATATAGCAGCTCTGACTTGCATAATCGAATCGCGGCACTTTAAAGCCAACGTCCAAATGCCAAAATCCGCATTAAGCCAATTTGTAAAGTTATCTTTTTTTCTTTTCCTATTTAATTTACTCGTTAGCTAATGCAATTTTTATATTATAGTATGTAGGAATTCCCTTCAGTGTTGTCTACTTTGCAGCAGCATGGCCTGGCACTAAGCGCATTTTTATTAGTTTCCAGCAAACGAGGCGAGTCCTGCTGCTCCTGCCTCGTCCCCGTCCTCGTCGTTGTCTGGCATTTGCGTTGTGGCCACGCTCACATTGTTGATTTAATTTGTGTGCCATTATTTGATCGGGCATTATACTCCTTCTTCTTCTACCTCAGCCTTTTATTTTGCTGACAAACAATAAAAAGTAAATTATGCCAGCCAAGCAGAAAATTCAATTTTCAACCGAAAATTTGTTTTCGCAGAATTTATAATGATTTCATATTGCTGACAGTTCGCTTATTTTGTCATTTTAAATATATGTTTCGCTGTTTACAATTCTCAATTATTGCTTTCATATACATCAATTAATTAACCCTTAAACTCGTTTAGTTTAAATTCATATTTTATGTGGAATTTGGGGCGTGGCACTTGCTTGTCTTCTAACAAAAGCTGTAAATTGAAATCAGAGTCACGCACAGTTCGTTCATTTGATGTAGTACGCACATCCACACACTGACACACACACACACACACACACACACACAGACATACATATGCAAGCGTCGCGTCGTATAACAAGAGCGGCGCAACTGTTGCTGACAGCTTTCGAGGGCTGTTTTGATGGCTGCCACCAACAGTTGCCGCACTGTTTGCTTCATGTACTTGACAAACACATATTTATATAACCATTTCTATTTGTTGTTGTTTTGTTTTCTATTATTATTATTATTATTATTACTTTATATGGCCTGCCAGCCTTAGGCATTGACACGTGCAAAAATGTGCAACAAAAAATTTTATATTATTAAAAAGAATATTCTTCAAGCAACAAAAACTAGTCAAACAAATGTTTTCCATAAATTTGATCAAATGCAGCTGCCAGAATTGTTTAGATAATTTAAAGAATGCTCTTTATTTTAAATACGTGGCAGCTCTGAAAGTTTGAATAAATATTTCTTTAAATGTGGAAAAAAATAAAATATGAAAATGAATTTATTTCAATACAGACAAATTTTTAATTGGAAATAAAACTAAAAATATATAAACCTAAAATATATCATATGTATATAAATAAATAGGTATATTTTAGATAAATCGAAAAACTTTGACAAAAATAATATAAAAAGGTAATACATTTTTTTTCTTTTTTCTTTAAAAAAAAAAAAAAAAAATTAAATATATTTTTAAAGCTAGTCTATAAATATAACTTTTAACTAGATATGTAAGCTCATCAGCAAACAATATGTAATTTAATCTAATTACTATTACTAATGAGCTAAAGCCGCAGCTGGTTAGAAAAGCCACAAAGAAAATTCTTCACAATGTCAGAAGCAGACAAAGAAAACTAAACTTAAATACCTTGAAATGAGCATATACATATATATGCAAAAGAAATGATGCGAGGGCGACGCTCCTTAACTTGACTTGACTTTTATGTGCTATAGGTTAAACAGATATATAGCTGTGCAGAGATGAGCTGGAGTCGCAGTGGATTCTGCTGAAAGGAGAGCCTGAAGGTTAAACATAGATCTATAAAAACAATCCGTTTACATTAAAGTCTTGCTAATTTGTTGCAAAATGCACCGAGTTTTATTTTTCATTCAACCGAACTAGCTTTATTTTAGCACAGTTAGCGAAACTGAGCCTTTGTTCTCCTGTTTTTTCTCTCTTTTCTATTTTTGCCCATCTCTGCTCATCTCTCAATATTTTTTTATGGCATTTCATCAATTTGTGGCACAAAAACTGTAGAATGCAACGTAAAGCGCACACTTTATGGCTTCATTTACATTGCTTGGGTTTCATTATTGGCTCACACAGTTCAGCTGGCATTCGACAGGCGGTCGACGCAGTCCACGCACTTTGCCCTGATTTAGCTACTAAAACCTTATTGCAGTGGCTCCCATTCTACCGAGTAGTCTATGTTGCTCCCTCGTTGCCTTGCCTCCAGAAGTTATTTATGCTCGTCTTTATGTGTCGCACGATTTGAACTTTAAGAGCCTCGAACCTTTGGGGTCAATTGTCGCATAAGCTGGAAGCTCACTTGCTGCTGCTCACATTAGGTACTTGTCCTAAGCTCCTCGCCTCCTTGGCTAGGCAGTTTATTTTATTTTATTTTTTTCCATCAAGAAACACAATTAATTAACGCGTCAAATGACAAAAACCTTAATGTCCACTAAAAGTTGCCTGTAAATGCATTAAAAATAAAATTTAAATGCTTGCTACGCTACAGATTGCTTTTGCGTGATTTTATCAAATGGCTAACACACACACACACGCGCACACATACACACGCATATACTCACATTTGGTCAATGTGTTGTCCAGGCCATTAAATTGTCGTTGCGTGTTTTGCGATTTGTTTAAAGCCAAACGCTATACAGACTGCAGTTAGGTTCGAAGCAAAAATTCTTGTTCAAGTGCGGAATGTTCAATACTGAATTAGTTCAAATGAATATTTTATGAGTTGCACTAGTTCAGCAGCTGTTTAACGATATATATATATACTAATCAAAGATGATTCACATTCACTCCTAATCGCCTGCTGAATAGCTGAATATCGCATAACAACTGAGCTATATATATGGTTCAGGAATTATGTTATACTGATTAGCGATATATACCAATATAATTCACATAGATTCAGCTATTCGTAGTTGCTTGCTGAATAGCTGAATATCGCATTGGTTGATAAAAAACGATCACTTATTAACAACTCAAAGAAGTAGTTCATAGAACACAAACATTGGTTCATTTGAATAACTCATTCAATTATAATGAAGTGATCCACGCGGCGCAGCTCTAAGATTCGTTTATATTTCAAACTTGTTTCCACTTAATTTTCACTGTCCATCCAAGACAGTCTGCTTCACTTTAACCCATGGCCAAGGCAACCTAGACATCAAATTGAAGCAGGCTAATTTGAATACAAATTTAACCAAATTCTGATAAAAGGCCAAAGCAAAATAGCAAAAAAAAAATACGATGCAGCAATGGGAGGCGTGTAAAAAGGAATTTAAAACAAAGCTGAGTAATAGCCGGGCACAAAACTGTTATACGCATACGTAAAAACTGTTATACGCAGAATGACAAAGAATGTATGCTCTGCCAAATATCTATAGCTATATACAGCCAAAGTCTGAGCATTAGCAGATTGTCTATAGATTGAGATTCGAATAGGCTATGGCTGGAATTTAATTTTTATATATTTTTTGCCCAAGCGCAATTTAAACGAAAAAATAGCAAGAGCCCCATTAAGGCCCCAAAAATCAATGAATTCAAAGTTCAAAGAGAATAGATTAAAATATTTCCCTGGCTGAGTGGGCTTCCATTAAAAAGGGCAGCTCAATAAGATTTCTAGAAAACATTGTCTTTGGCATTGTTTCAAGCTGCCTTTGATACCAAAGGGCGATTAACCAAATAATAAATAGTTTCCCTTTAGTTTGATACATTATATATACACATATGTGTGTGGGTATGTTATAGGGCCATATGCTAGTAATCCTCTGCCCATATGTTCATGTGGACAAAGGCAAAGTACTCAATGTTTATGGCATGTTTTACAAGCAAAATGAGCGATGCAGGGAGCGCGAGTGTGTGTTGGAGGGACGGAGGGAGGTACGTAGGGGGAGAGAGAATGTCTGCTGCAGCAGTCAAGCTTTTACACACCCACACAGCTACACACACAAACACTCAGGCAACACTTTGTGGGCACACTTCCGTTTCCGTTGCACGTTGCCCTGTTGAGGTCAGCAACAGCAACAGCAACACAAGCAACACCAACTCAGCAGCAGGTGCATTTGCCAATAATTGATTGCATTTCGGCATGAAGCTGTTGCCATTTGCCATTTACCATTTGCCACTGCTGCTGACTGCTGACTGCTGACTGTTAGCTGTTGGCTGCTCACTGCTCACTGCTGTTGCATTTGTTATGCACAATAGAGCTGCGAGTTCTAGCTCAATTTTCTGGAATCAGTTCAATCAATCACAATCAACTTGTGAACTGGCGCATAATAATGAAGTGTTCTATAGGATGGACAGGATTATGATGTAATTTATATACGCGTAAATAAAAATATTATTTATTCTGATTATTTATATGTATTCATATAAATATTTTTATATTTTTTACCCTGAACCCATTGAAAATGGGAAATCGGGGTATAATGGTCTTGTTGAAATGTATGCAACAGGCAGAAGGAGACCCCCCAAAGTATATATATTCTTGATCAGGGCGACGAGCTGAGCCGATATCTCAGAAGATTTAAGAGCTATAGAGCTGAAATTATTGCATGTATACTCGTGTATACCATACGCAGTACAAGTTTATCATATTTTTCATAACTCATCCGATATATTTTTGATCAAGAATAATCGATAAACTGATATTGTTTTTTCAGCCTAATTTAAACAATTCTAGTTCTGGAGTGTTCACATATACTGTGTATATACAGGGCCAAGACTCTTGTTCCTAATTGAACCATATGCTCAATTTATCACTCAACAAGTTCAATGCAGCTCAGCTCATTCACTCAACTCAACTCTAATTCGACTGCTGCTGCCATTTACCTTTTGCTTGCGGTCTGCTGTGAGCATAATGCAGCTTTGAGTCCTTAATTTGCAGCATGCCTGCGCCATTATCGATCTAGTTGAGAGCCATAATTTGATAAGCAGCTAAATTGATTAGAGCGCTGACAGATATCGATGTCAATGTACATTCCAGTTTGCAATTTAGTTACGCACCAGACTCAATTATCGAGAGCCAACTCACTCAGCGCTCACTCACTTATTGTTTTGCCTTTAAGAACATACTGTTTGGACATTGATTCGCACATATGCCTCAAAGCCAGTCAAGGGCTCATTGAATAAAGCCAGCGCCAAGCAAAACCTAAAGGCAATGGCCAAAATCAATCAGCGCTTAACTGCAAAAGTATAATGCTCGACTAGCAGATACCCTGTGAGTGAGTAGATAATGTTAAAGTAACTGCAGGTTGAGCAAATTGAGACTATGAAGGGCAACCACATCACACGAAAGAGTGCATAAAATGGTCGACTGACAGATATCCTGTAATGTTTCACATTCCTTTTCATCAAGAATATAAATACAGTTCACACATGCACAGCAAAAATATACCCTACCTACAGCATCTACAGGGTATATAACTACAATTTAATGCACGCTGCCCATGGCTAAGAAATGACGAGCAAGCACTGAATCGTTGTTGTTGCTACTGTTGCTGTTGCTGCTGTCGTCGAGGCAACATTTTGGCCGCGAACAAACACAAGAATGATTCATCCCACTCGGCACTTTGGCATTGGGCAAATGTCCTTAGCGAGAATGACGGGGCAGGATTGAAATGGCAAACAACAGCGTCGCCATTTTCATTATCCTTGGACTTGCACAAGTAAACATTTCGTATTGTATTTAAAAATGAAATGACAACATTCCGGAAAATCCTCGAGCTCAAGCTCAGGCTCAGCCACGCTTCAGCCAGGACAATTGAAAATGCTTTTTGTGCAAATGTCGCAGCCAGCAGCAGCAACAGCAATGCCCAAAGCCGACTGCAGGATATGCCATGCTGAGTTTAATGTCTGACTATAAGATTCCGAGAGACTTGTAAAGAAATGTTCATACACACCCACACACACACGCCTATTTAATAATATAGAAAAAAATATTTCGGTATAGTTTTGTGCTCTTTAGAGATATTTAAGAATGCCTTTAAATTTCCATCTTTATTAGCTTTAGGTTATTTCTGCAGCGACCCTCGCATTTCCCATATAGTATGTCCAGCAAGGCCACGCTTCTGCAGCTTGTTTGTGTTTTGATTGGGGGTAGTTACCAAAAAGAAAATAGAAGGTTTTTGTCAATATTTTAGAATTGTATTCTTCTTCTTTTTCATCTATTATGTTGTCAGCACCTCTGTGTCCATCCTCTTGTTCATTGTTATGCAGGCGGAGAACGACTCTATGATTGCCAAAAACTTGGCAATTTACCAAATTACCTGATTCAAATATTTCTCCTTTTGTGCTCAAACATTTTGATACATATTTTAATAAAAAAAACCTCTATAAGCTAAACACGTTAGAACAATAATTGCAAAAATTATAAAAAAATATGATATAACTTTATTATAACTATAAAATAACTTTGAGGTCTAATTGAAGAGCTAGTTACTCTTCCCTCATGTCTGACATTAAAATATTTTTTTTAATGTTCACATTGCTTCATAAGCGTAACCAAAATATTTTATGTCTTCCTCTATCAAAGTCTAAGTCAAAGCCAAATCATTATCTCTAAAATTTTCGTTTCGACAGAGAAACGAAATTAGAGCAATGTGCGCTCATTATCAATTCTTCAACGAGCATAAAAATTTATATTTTCGCTGCAATAAAACAGAACACCCAAAAAAAAGATATTGTTTTTGCTTAATAAAAACTGAATAGCACTTGGATAATAAACATTTTAGTTGTTAACGACATACTAATTTTGAGAACATTTTTATTAATATTTAATAGCAAAACTAAAGTACCTTGGATAGCTTACCTTTAGATTTTACTTAAAAATGTTTATGATATCATAAGACCAGTATATAGTCAGCATATATATTAGACAGTATCTGCTCGTCGTTCATCGTTGACCCACTTGCTGAAGGTCAAGGCTTTCGGCATGTTATTGCGACCGGAAGTTGGCAACGGCAAAGCGCTAGCAGTGCTTAGTTTGCTGCTATCTTAGCACTCAATTATAAAAGTCTCAGCGAAAGTGGAAAATGAAACGAAAGGCTTCAAAGAGAGAGGGACAGAGAGAAACAGAGCGAAAGTGCAGAACGCAATGGCCACAGTTGCTAAATATTAAAAGAAATGAAGAAACAACGAAAAATGTTTTGCTCTGCGGCCGCAATGGGTGGGCGAGGCTACCTGCTGCGCACAAAAGTAGGCAACGTTTGCCTGCACTTAGTTAAGTCTATGTGCTAGTGTGTGTGTGTGTGCACGTGTGTGTATGTCTCGCTGTGTGTGTGCAATAGAACAATGGCCGTTTAGCTCAATGCTTAATGCTCCTAGCTGTCGCTTGAAGCGTATAAGAATTATTCAAACCACCAAGCAGCAACAAAAAAGTAAGAATTGTCCAGTGAATGACTAGCATATACCCTGGAAAATGTTTGGTTGCAATGAGTTGCAGCTGTACTTTAGAGTACTTTTTGTCTTGCTTGCCTTAAGTTGATATAAAAATTGAATTAGATATAGAAAAGGGAAATTTTTTCATTTATAGATAATAGATAATAGAATAGGTCTTAAAGGCCTAATTCCTTGTTACATACATATGCTCAAATCACCACACCCCATTTTAAATAATTGAACGTGTTGAGCAAAAACGCTTTCAACTGTTTTTTTACCTGCATCTTTGTTCCACTCAGCGCTGGGCATAAAACAGAAATGTTCAAATATTTGTTGTTGCTCGTGTTTGTAGCTAAGCTTTTACCAGCACACCTGTACACACCTGCTAAATTCACATTTTCAATTGTAGGCAACGGCTTAATCAACGAGGCCGAGTTTCTGCAGTGGGTGGGCAGAATCCAGGCGCTGCGGGACGAGCAGCAGCAACAGCACGATGACAGCACCAGCAATGCCAGCAAACCCGTCGACGAGGCCGACGACGTAACCGAGGATCTAATAGCTGCATTTAGGTAAGTGGCCTAGCTGGCTTAACTGACAGATATGTATATGTATATATGCTGATTGCTAAACTCAAATTCACAGAGTATTTGATCGTGATGGCAACGGGTTTATCACACGAGATGAACTGCAAACGGCAATGGAAATGATTGGGGAGCCCTTGAATGAGCAGCAGGTGGAGCAGCTGCTCGCTATTGCCGACTTGGATCAGGATGGCCGCATTAATTACGAGGGTAAGTTACACACAAATACACAGTCACGCACCAATGCTGCACCCACAAAGGCCGGCAGTGACGTGGGCAAGCGTGAGGCCAGTGTAAACCGCTTTTTATGCTAGTTCATATGGGGGAAAGAGAGTATATACAAGCTATGTTCAATGGTATACATTGAACTGAATAAAGTAGAATATGGACTGAAGTATATGTAGGATATAGACGTATCTATATACCAGCGTTACGGAGGTGGAAAATCGAAATTGAATTACTTGAGTATATTATATATACTTATAGCGGTTGTTTAGATCTACATCCAATTAATCCATCTGAAGTCAGTCAACATATTAGTTCTGTCCCAGTTTTGAAAGCAAAACTCTAAAAAATATTCAAAAAATTTTACTTTCCTTTTTGAATATACAAATTTATTAAAAACAAAACTTCAACAAACATTTTTTTAATAATTATTTATTTATTACATGACGAACAAGTATTAAGCAGTCATTAACACCCAACTGAATTTTCCAATTTTCTCTTATTTTGTCAGTGCGAAGGACTCATCAAAAATATAAATAAAGCCACAAAATGCGTTAGCTTTCACTTTTACCGTTGCTGTCTGCGCGTTAATCAAGCTGCAGCATAAAACATACACACACACACGCACACACATGCTCACGTGTAGCTATATAACCTTGTGCCAATATTTGCGAAAGCCTCACTCATAAATCAGCTAGACAAATACAAATAGAAACCGCAGCAAACGAGACTTCAAGTTGAATAACCCTAGGCGCAGCAGTTCGGCTAACAAAGAATCCCCCGCCCCCCACATGCTCAAGGTCTATGTCTGAATTCATTTGGCTTTTGTTTATGAATGACAGCTTTAGACAACTGCATTAGTTCATGCTCCAGTTCAATAATATTTGAATGGCACATCAGTTCAATTTGAAAACTAGTTCATGGCCAAGGCTTAATCTTGTCAACGCTCAAAAGTAGGCAATAGATTTTTTACCATAAAGATGAATGGGTTTAAGTTCCAATAAGATAATTCACAAGTCAATTGAAGCTCAATTAACGTCATTTACTTCAATTGCTGAACATTTTTAAAGTGTATTTAATTGTTGCATTACTCTGCTAACTGAAAAGAAATCAAGACAAAGAGACATTTGTAGAGGGCATTCACATGTTGAATTTGAATAAAGAGGAAAAAGAAAAAAACAAAAAAGCTTGTCACATTTACATATTGGACAGGGTATTCCATGGCACTCGATAGCAACTATCATCATTGGCTGACATAAAGAGTCAAAAGTAAACATTTGTCCTAAGGACACGTTCGATGTGTCCCCTGCGCAGCATTAAATTGATTTACGAAACCCAAAGACAGATGTTTCATGCATTGTCAAATGTGTGCGTGTGCGTGAGCGTGAGCGTGTGTATGTTGGCCAAGCACATACATAAATGGCTTCTCTAAGCATGTGAGTGTGTGTGAGTTGACTTGAGTTTGTCATTAGGTTCAGATGCCATGGCATTACAAGTTGTTACTTTGACCTTGGCGTAGTAAACGCATGAAACCCAAGTCTCCCTCGCTCTCCACTGCAATTTATTTATTTTAGCCTATTTATTTAACACCGACATGTGCAAAGAATGTAATTTATTTCTGCACTAGCTCACATGATTAATAAAAACAAAAAGTAGCTGAGGCAGGATATAGGATATATTTTAAAATATTTTCTTATTTAAAAAAAAACTTACTTAGCAATTTATTTAGAGGGTTTTCCCACTGACTCTATACATATTATACATATATAACATATATGAATTTTATTAAATTCTTTCTCTTCTTTCTCTTCTTTCTCTTGCAGAGTTTACGAGACTTTTGCTGTAAGCGACGAACGTAACGCAATTTCGTTTGGGGCAAAAGCTTAACAAATGAAACTTAATTATACTCAGTCGGAATTCATGAATGTTTTATACAAAACAAGAAAAAGCAAAACAAAAATTATATTTATATATGAATTAATTATGCTAAGAAACTAAGAGAAAGCAGCAGCACATTAGAACGAACTTTCAAAACTTTTGCAATTTGAAAAGTGGAAAAACGGGAAGTTTTCTCTTGGACAAACACAAACACACACAAAATACACACACATTAGTTTCTAAATCATTTGTAAAAAAAAAAAGAAGAAAATTCTTAATATTCATTTTTTGTACGACTTTAGTTAATAGTTGGAACCGTTTTGTATAATTATGCTCGTTCACAAAATGAAAAGAGTCTATGGATTCGTTCGTCTGGATGTCTGAATCTAGTTACTTTAAATTTGGAACATATTATTTAACAATATTTTCTAATACGCCAATTATGGAGTCTCTTAGTAATTTGGAAAGGGGGCTAACAGTTCAACCGGGTTTTAGGTACTTTCTGGGCATGGAAAAACTATGTTTTTCATAGTTTTCCACTCGAGATCTGTAGCTCTATTATCTAATAGCAAATCATAGATTTTTTCTAACCAATTCGATCATTTTCAAATCGTGAGCGAGTATGCCGCAGTCGGTTGTACCCGAATGCCAAGGTCTTAATTGTTTTACTTTTTTATAAATTCATAAATTTGTTTACGTAATAAACATTATATGAAATTACATCATATAACATACATATAAATATATATAACTATATATATATATATAGATATGAAAATTCGGATAAGTCTGAGAGCGTGAGTGATATTGTGTTTAGGGTGCTGCATTGACAAAAAATTCAAAGAAAAATAATAACTATAAAAAAAAAATCAAAGAAATATAAGAAAAGCTATTGATGAAAACTATTGCATAAAAATGATCAAAAATTATAAACATAAAAAATTAAAAAAAAATTGTTCATATGTTTGTGTCTTAAATAAGTATAAACAAATTGCTTTAAATGTATTTCAAGCAAAAAACAAAGCCATAAAAGCAAAAAAGAAAATATTAAAAAAAAATCGATTCGATACGGATGTTAAGCCCAAATATATATATTTATAATAATATTATTATATTAAATGTCTAGTTATGTAATTGTTAAACTATTGAAATATATATCGATATGAATACACCAACAATAACAAAATAAATGAAAAAACATATTTTAAAATATAAAAACTATTATCAAAAGGCAATTTAATTGCTAAGCAATTCAAAAATCTCTCAAAAATAAATTTTAAAAAGATTTTTAATAAAAAAAAAAGGATTTTTTTTTATTTTTACTTAAATCAAAAGTATCTTAAATCAAATCTTATGTAGCTACTCATCTAACTTTAATTTTAATTTTTAGTTTATATACTTCACACAGAAAAAATAGCAATAATCGAAATTCAAAAGTCCATTGCATCGCCGTCCCAGCTACATTATAAAAATAAAATATATATATAGATAAAAAAATTTTTTAAATTCGATTCAAATATAATATTTTAGAAAGTTTAACTTTTGGCAGTGGTTTCAAATTATTTTTGCAACTTGGAGCAGAGCAAAGTTAACTCAAGAATAAATTATATATATTATATATGTATTTAGAACAATATACAAGCATGTGTTTTCTAGTAACCAAAATTCAGTCAGGTCAATAGTACAAATAGTCACAAACAAAAGAAACAAATTGCAAGCAAAGAAAGCAACATTTTTGTATGGTGTTTACAAAAATTGCCAGACATAATTAAAACACAAATAAAAAAATTGAATTAAAATAAATACAGTTTTCATATATATCTCTGTATGTATATGAATTCAAATGCTGTTTGTTTCAATGTAGATTTTTACGATATCTAATTGTGCTTAAAATATTTATATGCAAAAAAAAAATATATACTAAACTATATATTATATATATATTCTAACTATATGCTGTTTATATCCAATCTATCGTAATGGCTGACATTGAAGAAAATTAAGACATTATCTAAGTATATCAACTATAATTTTAGGTACTTTCCTTAGTTGTTTTGTTTTCTAGAAGTTCTGATTGTTTTCGGGTGTCTGAAATTTCAAAGCTTTGTTAAAAAGAAAAACGAACAAATATAAAAATAAATAACAATATACCAACGCTCAACAATATTGTTTTAAATTTTGTTGGAAGAAACAGTAAGCTCTGGATATTTAGTTGGCATTTATCGCCTCATATTTCAGTATCACATTCACAAATACAAAAGCAATATTCAGTAAGCAAAATATTGTCGCTTAATTTGTCGACGTTTCCAAATTTCACTCTGTGCATATCGTGTATATTTTATATTAAAAAAAAAAAAAAAAAAGTAACACGTGTCCTATAATTAATATAAAATCATGAGCGAACCAGATGATAAGGTAACTACAATCTATAACCCTTCAACTCATCAATCTCCTCATCCGTGTTGTCTGTAAAATTCACCTTTAAATTTCTGTTTTAAATTACTTATCGATAATTAATAATCAAGCGAATTCGATGGCTACCTTTCGGAGTAACCCAGTAAATAATCTAATATATTATAATCAGCGCACTCTAGAAAATATATTAACATTGATTACACGTTTATTATCTAAAATCTAAAGCAACATTTTAATTTAGCTATAATGTCTCTGTTGCTTAAAACAAATATTATACAAATACATTTTGTTTCTTTTATTTTGTTTATCGATGAATCGCGAGCAACCCAATTCGCCGACTACCATTTTGAGTAAGTTCATACAATAGAACGAGTTCCGCTGTGAACTATAGCACCAGGTATCATCGCGGAGCACACACGAAATCAATTTTTTACAACGAAAACGACAGTGCGAACTGATTATATTGTCCATTGTATTATTTAAAGTTTTTTGTGTTGTACACGCGATATATATAAGGGTTTCATTTAACCCGACGAGAATATTATAACAAGTGTTTAAAATAAAGCCGCAAAAGTGGATACCGATAACGTAAAAATTGAGGATTTGATGGACTCTGATCCTGACATTGAGTTCATTGAAAAGGATAGTGGGATGTCTTCGTTAGGTGGTAGCAAGGACGAGACGCCAGAGCGCCGGACAGTAGCCATTGTAAGTTAAACCGCGTGCGTCTGAAAGCCCCTACCGTTTTGGTTTTCGTGCTCACGTAATTGGAGAACTAGTCCATCTGCTTATCAAACGTACACATACACACACACACATACATAGTTATGTATGTGCCTTTGTACTTATTGATTATTACAACGTGCATCAATCGCATTACTTTCTTTACAGCCAGCAAATGAAGAGCCGCAAACAGATGGTGAGAATTACGATGATGTAAGTTTTGCTCTCAATTTATGTTTGTAAACATGCAGAATATATGTATGTATATACAGAAGTGAACATTCTAACCTCACACTTGTGTTGTTTAGGAACCAGATGAGACGTTCGGTGAACGTATGATGGGACTATCAGAAATGTTCCCGGAATCAGTGCGCAATGCGGTGAGCAGTGTAGCCACCACTGCGGCGAAGAGTTTCCGTAGTCTCTATCAGTTCTCATGCAATGCATCGTGGATATTCTTTACGAGTTCCGTCATACTGTTTGCGCCCGTCATTTTTGAGACCGAGCGCGCCCAAATGGAGGAGCTACACAAGTCGCAGCAGAAGCAAGTGCTGCTTGGTCCAGGCAGTGCCATGGCCGCTGGAGCATCGCCCAGTTTACCATTAATTCGTTAATTATCAGCTTTGATATACATCTATGCATAATACGTTAGTTCGATTTGCCAGCGGGGACGAAACAATAACAACAGCAGCAACCACATTTAAAACGGGATATTCCCTCACGCTCTAGAGTATAAGTCGGAATCGAGCCAGTTGATCCAGTTCACAAGTCCCTGCCAGTGAATGTTTATTAACACTAAAACCAAACACAACACACACACACATATACTAATGGCAATCAATGGAAGCCAATCAAAGTCAACGCCTTAAGCATTTACCATCTTAATATCCACTCATTCGAGCAGTTGGCATAGAACTTTCAACTAGGGTTTAGTCCAAGTATTTGTAGTTGGCCTACACATCAAGAAGAAAAGAACAATTAATGTTTGTAAAATTTAATAAAAATTCGTTTATTAAGAGTTAATTAAGGACCACCGAGATATTCTCTTGGTATGGGGTGCTCCATAAAATAACGACGAAATTCTCCAGCGTATTTATTACGCAGTGCCCGCTCACCGTATTCATTGAAACGCTGAGCGAGAAATACATAGACATCAAGGACTTTTGCATGGGCCGACAGCTTCTTAAAGGACTGTGCGGAACGCTCCAATATATCCAAGGATTTCAACAGCTGCGCTTTGCGAGCATTTGCATCCTTAATGGCCAGCAGGCAACGCACGAACACAAAGTCCGCCTTGGCCCGCTCGTAGAGTCCCCCGTTTATGTGTATATCGTCCATGCTGCGCTTGATGGCCTGGTACGCCTTTTGCGGCATGCCCAGCATTAGAAGTACCTGTGCCAGCAACATATCCACAGTGGCCAACTCGTAGTCCATCTGCGACTCGGACATATCCTCGGCCACACGCAGCAGCAGCATAACTGCCTCGCTGGAGAAATTGCCCTCGGCTAGGCTGCAGTAGGCGAGCAGGACTTGGACACGCATGCGCAGCAGAAACGGCAGCTCCGACTTGGCTGCCAGCTTATCAAGCAGCCGGCGTGCATTAAAAAATTCGCGCTTGGCCACATAGATGGCGGCGCGCTGTTGCATCGCAGCCGATGGATCGAGTAGATGCAGTTGATCACATGCTTTAAGGGCGTCGTGCCAACGACAGCGATAAATCCCCGACTGTATGGTCACATGACACTGGCTAATCATCCAGCACTCAGCGTTCGGCATGCGTGGCAGCTGTTCGCGGGCCCGGTGAAGCAATACGCGAGCGAGACGCAGTTCGCCCTGCAAATGCAGCCACATGGCATAGCTGGCCAGAGCGCTGCCTATGCCGGCCGATCCGCTGCAATTGAAACGATCCCGTACGGACAACAGCAGCTGGGCATACAAAGCCGACAATTCGTGTCTGCCGTAGGCACACCAAACAGCGCTCCTCAAGGCCAAGGCTTCAGAGGCATGATTGGAAAGATTGTTCCGATTGGTTAGCTGATCACTATGTTGCAGCAGGTCGAAGAGACGCAACGGCTGATAGCCCGCCACGGTGCCCAGTTTCACAGCAAAGTGGAGCGCAAGCGTATAATTCTGTAGAAGATTCCCATCCGCATCACTGATGTCAGCCACGCTGCGTTGCACATACGAGAGGGGCAGCTCGTCGCGCAGTAGGCAGTGCCAGGTATTGGCCAAATTCAAGCTCCTCTTGTCGCCGTGCTCTTGGGCGAGCATGATGCTCTCTCTGAGTGCTGCCAGTGCCTCCTCCCGATGCCCAAATGTCGCATGCAGCACGGCCAGATTGATGCAAAAGTATTGATAGCCCTTCTCCTGGCTCATCAGCCGCACAGGCGACCGATCCAAGGCTCGATGCAGAGCCGACAATGCATTATAGTAATCACGTATGCGCAGCTGATTCATATATCCCAGAAAATAGGAGGTCGTATTCAAGGGAAGATCCTCAATGATCTGCTGCACCTTCAGCTGCAGCTCTTTGGGGGACAAGGCGGAGCTCTCATCATTGTCCAATAGTTCCGACTGCTTGTTAATAAAGAATTTCGCCTGCTTCGGCGCCCATCTGCTTAGCGACTGACCAACCACTCCCTGTTCTTGCTTCGGCTCAGCCGTGTCCTTGTTAATCTCCTCCTCCGGAGCTGACGGTGGTGGTGTCTGCGCTCTGTGCAGCACGCCACCAACAATCAATTTCCGTGCTCCCGACGATAGGGCTCGTATACCACGCTCATAGTAGAGACATATATTCCGATACATGCACATCATCTCGGCGAAAGAGAAGCGTTCAAGCACAACGGCCACTCGTCGGACGTAAACGCCAACCATGCTGAACTGGCTAACGCCGTAGTCTTCATTCAGCAGTGTGTCGATGTTTTGCATTTCGGCGAAGTCGAACAATGCCTCAATGCTGGCCGAGCCACAGAACTCGGACATTGCCTTCTCGAAGGACTCCAGCATAAGTGCGTCCAGCTTAAATGGCTTGCTCGTAATCAAATTGTGCAGCTCATTATACGTCATATCCGCCTCTTGGATTAACTTGAACATGAGCATACAAAACATGCGTCGCCTCTGTGGTCGCATCGTAATTCCCGAATCCATTGAATTCTTCTTTTCCTACATAAATGTTGTATGTAAATGTATCAATTGAGAGAGTTGCAAATTCACGTACCTTCACATATTGCTTGAGTAGTATCAGTACGGCTATCTTGTGAGGTGTGGGTGTCTCTATGCGCGGCGGCACCAGCTTGGAGCTGGGATCCAATGTATCCAGCTCCTCGAACAAATTCATCTCATCTGAATTTTTATTTTGCCGGCACAAACACAAACTATTCACACACACACACACACGAATATACTCAGCTACAGCCAACTTCACATAGTATGGTCTTAAACATATGGCAACTCACTTTGGCGGGCTATTTAAAAGTTTGATTAACAACGAATATTGCAATACACAGAAGCCGCCAACTTCACGTGACAGAGACAACAGAGTGCTGCCAACTTGTTTGACGCTTGTGAGAACTAAAGTTGGCGGATATTTGAAAATTTCTATAAATAATAGTCGAATAAGAGCATCGCAGACTGCGCACGGTTATTTAGCACCGAAAGAGCCGTAAGTCTGGCTTCATTGCTCATTACATTTCATTGCACAACACAAATACAGTCCTTTTGTTAACACGTATAACGTATAAACTGTGTAAGCTGATAGGTTCAAAGTCTATCAGCTCACAATCGCTGTTTGCCTAATAAATATATAAATATTCGTATGCGCAAAGCCAATATACAAAGTTCGTCAATCTTCTACCCATTTATTTTTAGCGAAGCTAATTAATTCTAGTCAATGAATTGGAATAACAGTACGTGGTGTGCACATGTAAATCTTGCAAAATGTATGAACGCAATAGCGAACTTTAGATGAGGAATGGGAAAATGGCACGGCGACCCCTTGGATAATCCTTGAATTCCTTCTTGTAATTGCGATGCTTGGCCAGAGCCCAAACAGTCATCTGGAATGCGCCAGCGAATGCAAACAGATAGGCGGGCAAGCAAGAGGTCATAGCCGAGAAGCAGACCCAGGCGCCAATCTCGTATGTATAATTAGGGCAAGAGACCAAGCTGCAAGAGAACATTCAATTGAATAATAAGATTTACAATGAAGTCGATAGAGCGCGAGATCAGGACTTACTTGAATAGCTTTGTCAATGGATTGCCGTCGGCCACTGGAATCTTGCGCACCTTGGTGCCCGGCGGACGCAAATTACGTAAAGCAATGTGTATCGAAAAGTTGCCCAATTCGCAGAGCTAAAAATCAAAAATCCTTTAGAATGTTTACATAAGATAATATTTATGAAACACTCACAGCAAAGGCAGCCAGTGCAGCATAGACGGTGCACATGCAGGGGGATGTGTAGAGTGGATGATTCACATGGTAAGAGACATACGCTGTGAAGCCCCAATAGTAGCTGCAATTCTTGAACAGATTACGCAGCGGCATCGTATTATGGGAGAAACGATGCACGAAGATCGTCTCCAGCAAACGCTTCACATAGTGAACGGTATAACAGCCAGCGGCGATACTATGAATGATAAATATATATTATTATATTATTATATTAAAAAAGGGAAATTTTGTAAAATTGGGAATTTCTCTGATTCAGATTTTTAAACTACATTTTATTATAATTTATGAAAATTTTCTTTATATGATCGCATATATAAGATTACGAGGTAGCTATTAGTCGTGTCCAAACGCCATGTTTTCATCAACACTTCATATACCCCGTTCAGAGTGCGTTCAGAGTATATACAAATCGTGTTGAAAGCGTGTTAATGATTATGCAGCCAACAACAGGTAAAAGCTAGCCCAGCGCTGATCACAAATTATTTGCATAAGCTCACAAAATCGACCGCTGGGTCAAGCGGGTCGATACTATTATCACTGTGTGCGTATGTGAATCTGTGTATGTGTGTTACTCTGGCGAAAGTCACACATACCTACACACACACACACACACAGAGAGAGAGAGAGTGAATGATATCTATAGCTAATAACTACTTACTGAGTGGTCAACGAAATGGGATTCCCAGCTGCCTTGCCGTAAATGAATTCCGGACGAAAATAGAAAATTAGATAAACAATCAAAGGACCTGCATACTCGGCCAGGAACACGGTCTTCCAGCCAATTTGTGGTCCCAAATCCTTAATGTAGACCTTGTCCCCATCGCTGAGGTTAAGTGCTCCAACGGTATCAGTATCCTTCAAGCTTTTGCCACGCGGCTCCAGGCGTCTTAAATGAAAACATTATTAGTTTTTGGGAATTTATGCATGTTTGTTTGCATGTGTGTGTGCGTTGGTGCACTTACAGCGATATGCGGTCGGCATGCGGCGTTTGCTTTAAACTTTTGTGAATCACGACGCGTAGCTCGCTTATCGCAACCGAGGCAGAGGACACATTTACCTTGCCATAGGCTTTGCTAGTTTTGGCATTTAGTACTTCCAGCTCCACCATTTTTCGTGACTGTCACTATTTTTCGTCTAGCTAGTCTTTATTTAGAGTGTTGCTGACTAATGAAAGGTTAGCAATCAGAGAGAGATTATGTTACTATGCTGTATAACTCAAATGGCACTGTCAAAGTCAAATTTGTCAATATGTGACATCACAAAAGTGTATGCTAAGCCACCAATGCTTCTCATGTCAAATTTTCTCACTGATATCACTGACCAGAGAACACTCTGGTCAGTGCTGATATTGTAAAACTCAATTGGCTATGTTACCTCAAGTTTGATGTGCCAAAAATTGTATGCCCAGTTACCGTTGTTAACCAAGTCAAATCGTATGACGCTTTTATGTTTGAAACTCCAATTGAAAACTTTATAGGATTACCAAAATATACCCCTAGCTAACATTGCTTACAAAGTCATTTTTTCTATCGTTGGTCTACAGGAATTGTTACTAAGCCAGTCGACTCAGCACGTAAAGCAGGTCTCGTCTTGAATTTGTTACAAAAAAAAAATTTTAATTGTGTGGTGAGTGTCTAGATTTTAAAATACACAAACAAAAAATAAATTCCCGTAGTAAGCCTTGAAAACTGAAATTGTGTATAAACATTCGTGCGGCGTAACCTTTTTTAACTCATTCATTTTCCGTTTGACTTCAAAAGTGAACACTTGGAGCTAAAAGAAATTGTTAAAATTTAGCAAACAAGCTAACAATATAAGAAAGAAAAAAACGCGCAGCATTAATCAAACGGTATAGTGAAATTCAGTAAATAAAAATATTAGGCAAACGAAACTTAAAGTAAACGGTTTGAGGGGTGAGTAAAAAAATCAATATAAAATTAAATTTAAATTGTGTTTAACTCAACGGTCTGGCACCCCTAAAGTGTGGTAGATTTAAGTGTGGTTAAATTAGAGGACAAGCGAGAGAGTGAGATAAACATATAGCACGTATAGATGCTGCAGTTGTGCATTACGAATCGAACGAATTGTTTTAGGCATGTTCGGTATAATTTTGCATACGGCTTTCAGTGTATTGGCACTACAATTTGCATAAATTGATTAGAAACTGCAAGCAATGTTATTTTACCATTAAGGCAAACAAATTATTAAGACTTGCAAGTTCTTGAAATTTGTGCGTGAGCAGGATAGCTCTATTAACATTACAGTTTCCCCATCCAAGTATACAAAAGTTCCCCTGCAGTTGCCAAGTCTATATAAAGTGAGGCACATTGGAAATCGTTTGAAGTAATCAAAAAGTGAAGCAATTGAGCAGAAGGAATAATCGCAGCTGTGAATAAACTGAAATAAAAAAGTTAATTTTTAGTGAACAATTAAATATCTAAAAGCTAAGAATCAGTGATTGAAAAAGTGAGTTTTGTCGAGTTATGGTACATTATTTTCTATATTTTAAAAATCTGCTTGTATGAAATGTAGAAGGTAGATGTTCGATACGCCATTTTTTTTTTTCTTTCGTCGTATTTTTGGTTACGTGTTTATTTGGAATTAAGCTATTTTTTTCCAATTTGTTGTGAAATTAGCTTAATGGTGTCATAGAAAATTCAAGAAGACATACTAAAACATACATGTACATATGCGTATATATATAATTATATATGCGTGTATATGTATATAGACATAAGTTACTGCAAATGTATGTGTGTATTATTTGCACGCACTTATCTAATGCATTCGTATTTATGTATGTATATATATATAGAAGGGAAAAAATAAGTGCGCAGTTAGAAATTTACACTGCGTGTTAATTTTTGATTTTATTAAAAACAAAATCTGCGTTGCAAAACTTCAGACGCAAGCAACCCTGTATGCAAATATATTTGTATGAGTATATATGTATATGTTAGTATATAAGAAGAGTCAATGGCAGAGCAATGGCCGTCAACAAAGGTTTTTTCTCTTTGTTTAAGACTTTGACAAGGGAGGAAATAGGAAGAGTCCAAAGTGTGAAGAGACGTAGATAATAAGTATACATACAAATATTCACTTTGCGTTTGTGTGCGTATGGGTCAAGCACAAAGCAATCGGGGACATACTCGAATTTTCTACAGCTCTGTTAGTCATCGTGAAAGTTATAATTTCATAGCACTTTGAGTTGAGGTCTGTCAAGACAAGTTTTTTTTTTTTTTCTAACTTTTTATTTTATTTCATATTTTTATTTCCAGAATTACCAAAATGCAGATCTTCGTTAAAACTTTGACGGGAAAGACCATCACTCTGGAGGTTGAGCCTTCCGATACCATTGAGAACGTTAAGGCCAAGATTCAAGATAAGGAGGGAATTCCACCAGATCAGCAGCGTCTGATCTTTGCCGGCAAGCAACTGGAAGATGGCCGCACTTTGTCTGACTACAATATCCAGAAGGAGTCGACCCTTCATCTGGTCCTCCGTCTGCGTGGTGGTATGCAAATCTTCGTGAAGACCCTGACTGGCAAGACCATCACTCTGGAGGTGGAGCCTTCCGATACCATTGAGAATGTGAAGGCTAAGATTCAGGACAAGGAAGGTATTCCCCCAGACCAGCAGCGTCTGATCTTCGCCGGCAAGCAACTGGAAGATGGTCGCACCTTGTCTGACTACAATATCCAGAAGGAATCGACCCTCCACTTGGTTCTCCGTCTGCGTGGTGGTATGCAAATCTTCGTGAAGACCCTGACTGGCAAGACCATCACTCTGGAGGTGGAGCCTTCCGATACCATTGAGAATGTGAAGGCTAAGATTCAGGACAAGGAAGGTATTCCCCCAGATCAGCAGCGTCTGATCTTCGCCGGCAAGCAACTGGAAGATGGTCGCACCTTGTCTGACTACAATATCCAGAAGGAGTCGACCCTTCATCTGGTCCTCCGTCTGCGTGGTGGTATGCAAATCTTCGTGAAGACCCTGACTGGCAAAACCATCACCTTGGAGGTGGAGCCTTCCGATACCATTGAAAACGTGAAGGCCAAGATTCAGGACAAGGAAGGTATTCCCCCAGACCAGCAGCGTCTGATCTTCGCCGGCAAGCAACTGGAAGACGGTCGCACCTTGTCTGACTACAACATTCAAAAGGAATCCACCCTCCACTTGGTTCTCCGTCTGCGTGGTGGTATGCAAATCTTCGTGAAGACCCTGACTGGCAAGACCATCACTCTGGAGGTGGAACCTTCCGATACCATTGAGAATGTGAAGGCTAAGATTCAGGATAAGGAAGGTATTCCCCCAGACCAGCAGCGTCTGATCTTCGCTGGCAAGCAACTGGAAGATGGTCGCACCTTGTCTGACTACAATATCCAGAAGGAATCGACCCTTCATCTGGTCCTCCGTCTGCGTGGTGGTATGCAAATCTTCGTGAAGACCCTGACTGGCAAGACCATCACTCTGGAGGTGGAGCCTTCCGACACGATTGAAAACGTCAAGGCCAAGATTCAGGACAAGGAAGGTATTCCCCCAGACCAGCAGCGTCTGATCTTCGCCGGCAAGCAACTGGAAGACGGTCGCACCTTGTCTGACTACAATATCCAAAAGGAATCGACCCTCCACTTGGTTCTCCGTCTGCGTGGTGGTATGCAAATCTTCGTGAAGACCCTGACTGGCAAGACCATCACTCTGGAGGTGGAGCCTTCCGATACCATTGAGAATGTGAAGGCTAAGATTCAGGACAAGGAAGGTATTCCCCCAGACCAGCAGCGTCTGATCTTCGCTGGCAAGCAACTGGAAGATGGCCGCACCTTGTCTGACTACAATATACAGAAGGAATCGACCCTTCACTTGGTTCTCCGTCTGCGTGGTGGTATGCAAATCTTCGTGAAGACCCTGACTGGCAAGACCATCACTCTGGAGGTGGAGCCTTCCGATACCATTGAGAATGTGAAGGCTAAGATTCAGGACAAGGAAGGTATTCCCCCAGACCAGCAGCGTCTGATCTTCGCTGGCAAGCAACTGGAAGATGGCCGCACCTTGTCTGACTACAATATCCAGAAGGAATCGACCCTCCACTTGGTTCTCCGTCTGCGTGGTGGTATGCAAATCTTCGTGAAGACCCTGACTGGCAAGACCATCACTTTGGAGGTGGAGCCTTCCGATACCATTGAGAATGTGAAGGCTAAGATTCAGGACAAGGAAGGTATTCCCCCAGACCAGCAGCGTCTGATCTTCGCTGGCAAGCAACTGGAAGATGGCCGCACCTTGTCTGACTACAATATCCAAAAGGAATCGACCCTCCACTTGGTTCTCCGTCTGCGTGGTGGTATGCAAATCTTTGTGAAGACCCTGACTGGCAAGACCATCACTCTGGAGGTGGAGCCTTCCGACACGATTGAAAACGTGAAGGCTAAGATTCAGGACAAGGAAGGTATTCCCCCCGATCAGCAGCGTCTTATCTTCGCCGGCAAGCAACTGGAAGACGGTCGCACCTTGTCTGACTACAATATCCAGAAGGAATCGACCCTCCACTTGGTTCTCCGTCTGCGTGGTGGTATGCAAATCTTCGTGAAGACCCTGACTGGCAAGACCATCACTCTGGAGGTGGAGCCTTCCGATACCATTGAGAATGTGAAGGCTAAGATTCAGGACAAGGAAGGTATTCCCCCAGATCAGCAGCGTCTGATCTTTGCCGGCAAGCAACTGGAAGATGGTCGCACCCTGTCTGACTACAACATTCAAAAGGAGTCTACCCTTCATTTGGTACTGCGTCTGCGTGGCGGTTACTCAACTTAATTGCAAAATAAAAGAAAGCGCAAATGAATAATTCAACACTAAAATCAAGCCACAGTTTCCAAATTTTTTTATTTCTGCAAAAAACACTAGACCGCAAGAAAAAATTCAAAATTACAAGTTCAAGCATTGAGCCGAATTTCCTGTGCCTGCTGTTTCTTCTGGCTTAATTCTTGCTTCAAATTCCATAAACAATAACAAATTAAAATAAATTTACCATATTCAAGAAGTTGTATTTTGCATTTTATTTTATTTATTGTCAGGTCCTGTTACTGGGTAAACAAAAATGCACTGGGTGATGAGATTGCAACATTTCATAAGAAATTCATTTCTTGGAGTTTTCTGTCATGGAAATCCAATATATAACGTTTGAATATTCGCTTAATTGGAATAAAATGGCATTTTACATCAAATGATATTTCATGTACATATATATATATATATATTTGTATTTATTCCATCTATATTATTATATATATTTATTCCGTCTATATTATATATGTATATTTATTCCATCTGTGGACGTTAACGTTTCACTGTGATTGGTATTTGTTTTGCTAAACATGAATACGTTTCGTGGTGACTGTCAAAAAGTGCATGACAAATAAATTTCAATCCGTAAAGTGAATGCTTCCCGTTTATTTCGGACAAAAGAAATCTGATAGTGAACGTGCAGACGAAATGGCCAAGGTATTGCAGCGTGCGGAAATCACGCTGCGTAGCTTCTATGTATTCAATTCCAATCTGAGTCAGAAGGAGGGCGAGGTGAGTTAAGCCAATCCGTGGGAGAGACGCCTACAAAATGTTATTGCTTTCATCCAACAGGAGCACAAGAAAATTCTGTTTTATCATCCAAATGATATTGAACTAAATACAAAAATCAAAGATGTGGGTCTTAGTGAAGCCATCATTACATTCACGGGGTGAGTCAGCGGCTACCACAGCTACAGCCCAAGAAGGAAGACTTATGTTTATTTTCCTCTACCAGAACGTTTACAAGCGAGGATGATTGTAAGGCTTTGCATACGCAGAAGACAACCCAGCTTTTCTATCAGCCAGAGCCAGGCTTCTGGCTTGTGTTGGTGGTCAATGTCCCCAAAGAGGTGAAGCTCAAGGAAGGCGTCGAGGTGGCTGACTATAGAGGGGGCGAAGTATCTGATAGGATATATCAAGCTGTCTTAAGGCAATGCTATCATATGTATCGCTTTCATCATGGTCCACTCCAAACGAAACTGACGGCCAGCCCAGGCAGTGAGGAGGCAGAGGAGCAGCGCCAACAATTGGCTGCAGATCTGAAAAAATTCTATGACCGCTATTTGGCTACACTCAAAGATCTGGCTCAGTGTGATATCATGGATATGCTACACTCCATTCAGTATCTTGCTCTAGACAAAAGCCTCTTTTTGCGCGCCCATAACTTCAGCATGCTATGCGATACCTTCACAGCAGTCAAAGAGTGCATCATGTTCTATAACGACCAAGTTGTCTGTGGAGGCAAACTGGCTGCTAGCGACTTGTATAGCTTGCATTCGTATGTCCTGGGAACAGTTTCTGAGGTTGGATCTGTGGATACCTTTCGAACGGGTGCATTTGTACTCGAAGGAGAAAAGCCAATCGCAACTGAGGTCTACTTGGATTTAGATAAGCAAATTAGGCCGCATTGTTTGCTCATATATCGCGCATTGAATGTTACGCTTTGTCTATTTGTGGATGGTAAAGAAAATGTTCTGTAATTACTTCAATATTCTCTCTAAATGAAAGTTTCATTGTAGCTGTTCCTACGCAGGAGTTCTATGAAGAGCTGCACGCCTATTTGGGCCCACAGCTCAGCTGCCTGGCTAAAGACATTGCTACTGCCTCGAAGTTGAATGCGAGTGCATCTGCAACGACTGCAACTAACCCTGACGATGGCTCAGCCAAATATCTGTTTATCAACGAGCAAAGCCTCAAGCATCATACAAATATCCATCGAAATGCAAAGAGCATTCCACGAAATGTAATGAGCATCATTGCAGATCTTGCTAATCCCATACAAGAAATCTCTGCCGCCGAGGAGCTGCAGGTGAAGACAACGAATGACTATTGGATTGTGAAGCGTCGTTGCAATTGGCGACAATATTATGTGATCCTCAGCAAAAGCAAGGCAACAACGCTGCTCGATGTGACACAGGAGGCAAAGCGTATATTTGAACAGGAGCTCACAGATGATGTATTCTTTGACAAATAAAAAGTAATAATAGATAAATGAATGGCGTTTTCCAATTGTATTTGGTTGTGCTGCTACTATTGTTCCTCGTTACTGGTTGCCAGCAGAGGCCGCAGCAGGGGCTGAGGTGCCTCTGTGGATGCTCCTTTCAAGCCAGCACCGTGCCACTATTCGTCGTCAGCTCATTGTTGGCATCAATGTAAACGCTCGTTGACGACGACGAACTGGTTGTTGCTCCATTCTGCCCTTTACTAAATTTAACAATATAAATATGACGATTCGACATGCATATGCTGTAGCTGTGGTGCTCGTAATCAATGGTAATGCGCTCACAGCTACTGTTAGCTATAAAGTTGTCATCAATGCTGCAGGCGTGGAAACAAAATTATTTAGTTTGATTTCCACATTCAGATTAGTTCAACTTGCCTCTCGGTTAGATTTAATAGGCCCATTATTATATTTGCGCTGCGCTCATCGTTTTTTAAGTCGCCACCTGATTCCAGTACTGCGCCATCATCCTTAAGTATCAAGTAACCAATTTGATTGGGAACAATTAGCTTATCTTTGTCCATAATTCAATTCCTTAAACTCAGGCTCACGCCTCAGATTCCGTTCTTTATTGTTTTTGTTTGCAGCTGCATTTGATGCCATTCACTTACCACGCGAACACACTTATCGATATTATGTGCATATCGATATTATAGCACTCGAGTGTGACTACCATCGCCAGTGATTTCGACCCCACCTCTAGTACACTACATTCAGTAAAGTATTCCCGTGCAGTTCGTGTGAAAATTAAAGCGCTGCGTAAAAAATTAAGTAAAAAGTTGAAAATCAATAGTTAAACCAACAAATTTCTTTGTAAAGCGGTTGAGCAAGGTCCAAAGTGTAAGTTACACATAGTTTTATTTGCACAATTATCGACCACATAGCTTTAAATTGCATTTGAAAATCGGCTTGCGTGTGTGTGTGTAGTAGTGAAAATTTTTCGGGTCAACGCCACACCCTCGTTTTTATATCGAGAAAATCTAATTATGCTTTCAATGTGTGCACAATGCCACTATTAAATTGTTAAAAGATAACTGAAAGTGATTTTCTTACATTACTTCCATTTGGAAAGTGTGTAATGAGTGTGAAATTCTGTATCTATGCTGCATATGAACCATTTTTTAAGCACGTTCATATGTGTGTGTGTGTGTTGTGTATACGTCATCGGGTTGTGCCGCAACTTCAGTTGAGAGAAAGCGAGAGAGATAGAAAGATGGAGAGCAGGCACGGACACAAGCAAAAGAGATGTATTTTGGTGTTGTTTTAAAAAGATGGCAACCCCATTATTTTGTTTGCCTCTTATTTGATTTTCTCAATACCTGTTTGTAATAATGAATGTCCTTGACACTCTCAACGTCTTGTTTACGTAGGATCACGTTGCGCAATATTGTGTTTAAATTGCCGGTACCGTACCGTACAAAAAGAGAAAAAGCAAAGAGTTATACATTTAAAAATGTATAATTTTATAGCGCTAATTGGTTATTTTTTTATTTTGACATTCAAAATATCCATTCATTGCTCATAATTCCAATTTGTGCGCATTACGTCATCCAGCTATTTCTGATAGACACTTCAATTAATGTATGTATGTATGAATGTATGTTGCCGCCGCTTTGCTGTATGGTGCTCATATGTGAGGTCTGTGTTTGTGATTGTATTTAAAAAGAGAGCACGTTTGCTCTTCTCGCATTCCAAACAAAAATGTACAACGGTGATATGGAGTCTCGAACTTATCCCCCTCTCAGTTTGTCTCTCTCTCTCTCTTTCTCTCTTTTGGTGAATGTTGTTTTTGTTTATTATACCACGCCATAAACAGTTACAATTGCTTTCAATTTGTTTGTGTTTGTTTAAAAACGTGTGTGTATGTGTGTATCTGTATACGACTTTTGTATGGCTGCTTTCAATATACGAACCCTGAATCCGAGCCTAGGGTAAATTTTCTTCTTCAATTTCCTGCCGTGCATTAGGGCGATGGCGTAAACGAGTCGCGTGAAAATATTAAATTTTGATATTTATGTATTTGTTTGTCCAACCCTACTGTAAGACTACTCCCATGGCTGATGATGTCATTTAAGTAGAGCCAATTGAAAATGTTTTTCTAACTACTGATTTCAGCTCTCTTCGAATTCTCTTATTAGAAAATTATTCGTATTCTATTAATTAAGAATTTGCACTACACATTAAATGCTGGGTATATAAAATAATTTCTAATGGTTTTGTATAAAATCTATATAATAACAATAATCTAGCTTTCCTATTAATATTTATTTACTAACATTTATTTCTTTAAAAGATATAATGGTAAAAATAAATCATGAAAAAAGTTAACGTTTGTGATTTTTTTCTATTTAAATGCATGTAAACAATATTTAATTCTATCTTACTTAATTTAATATACACTATATACTAAATAACTATTCTAATTAATTTTATATATAATTTGCTCAAGTAAAACTTCTCGAAAATTTCGGCATAAATCTGAATCTGAATTTAGTTCGTTCTTTAAAAATAGTTTCGTTACTTTTGTATGCGTGAGTGTTAAAAAAAAAAAAAAAAAAAAAAAGTGGCAAAATTGAAAGTCTCCAACAAATAAATAAATATATTCACAATGAATGAAATCAAGACAAATACAAAGAGCGTACAAGCAAAATTTCTCTTCTCTCATCTTCCGTTGCAGGAACGGGGCCTGAGGGAAAGAGAGAAAAATGTTTTGTGAGAACGAGCGCTTGAACGTAATATAAACAAAAACCTAGCGACACATATGTATAAATAAAAACAAAACAGAATGGAGCAAGCGGAAGAACAGGAACTGGAATTGGAGCCGGAGCAGCATTTAAAGCATCTACTAAATAAACTCGAACCTATCGAATTGAATCAACTGCCAGAAAAGTTCAACGCTCACTTTCAGGGAGGGCAGAGTGGCCTAGAAGATTTCGCTATTTACTATTTGGCTGCACTACGTCAACACACAGAGCAGCATTTTCGTAACAGTTTAAGCAACGAATCGGAGACGCCCAAAAGTCAAACGCCTGTACGCCAACCAAGGCCACCCACAGAAACAGATCAGGAACTGAATGAATCTCAACTTAGTCAACTGAGCATTGGCAATGTGTCCACGCCTGTGCGACAGAATTCACAGGGGCGTCGTTCCACTGGTGGCCAATTCAACAGTACACCGCATAGCAACGAACGACCCTCGAATCGCAGTGGAGGAGGTGGAAGCGTTTCCGGTGGCAGCTTTTGTCTAGGTGACTTTTTGGTCAATACAACGCCCAATCATAGTCAACAACGTGCAAGGAAGAAGCCGCTAACGCCACAATCAAATACCGCACAAGATTGTGCACACAATAAATCTCAAAAACCACGTCGACGTGTGGTTCCTATGACAATCAGCAAGAATGCGTCTTCGTGCATTTCCTTTGGCGACACCAGCTCGTTTAGCAACGAGAACAATTTGTTGCGTCTGTCGCAGAGCTGTGAATTGGATCGCAGCCAAGGCGCTGAACTGGAATTGGAGGCAAGGAAGACATTGCTACTACGCAGGCAGGAAATCAAAAGTGAAGCGCCAGTTGAACAGGAAAGAGAACGAGAAAGAGAGAAAGAAATTCGACCTTTAGAGCCAGTCAGCTTGGAGGATGTTAGCCAAGCCAAGAGGCTTCAAGTGCTAGCTAGCATCTACTCATTGCTCATGGACTTGAATCTTGTTCCAAATGTATTGAGTGAGATAAGCTTTGTACTGCAATTACTTAATATACGCAACATCGAGTCTGATGCGAGTCCAAGAAAGTCTGACTCGGATGCACCTCTCGCCCTACTAACGGGCTACAAGGAATGCATTTACTTTGCCGTTCAATTACTGGAGCAACAGCAGGAGCTGCTATTGCAGGTGGATCGTAAATCTCTGGGTGTGCTGCTCCAGCATGAGCGTTTGTCTTTGCTCTCCAAAGAGATGCAGGAACAACTGGAACTGTCCTGTCAACAGAAACAGCAGTTAAAGAGCAAGCGGGAGCTATTTCCCGACACACAAAATCCTCAGCAAAATGTCTACTACCAGCACGAGAAAGATTCACGTGATAATTTTCCTAGCCAACAGGAGTTCGGTGCATTTAAGACCCAGCGAGATCTTTTTTACAAGGCGCTCAAGCAGTGGGAGCAACTACATCTTAATCGCCTCTTCTGTTTTGGCAGAGATTTGCGTCAATGCGTGCGAGAGATCTTCAGGCAGTCTGAGCATGCTGTAAATATGGCGCACTTTGCCAAACTGTTTGTCAGCCAGCTGCTCATGTCCAGTGGTGAGACGCACGAATCACCCGAAGAACTGGGTCTGAAGCTTGACCAGCAGCGTCTCAACAGACTGGCCCAGCGTCTGATTACCAGCAATTCAAGCGTTGAGGATCAGTTTCCACGCACGCAAGCCTTCTTTCGTGATTTTATTAGCGAATGTGGATCCTTGGCATTTCTAGTACAGCTCCAGCTGGCGCTCTATGTCCAATTGTTGCGCCATAATGATTCCAGTTTTGAGTTGCTGCCGCTTCAAGCCGAAGACGAGGACGATGGCGAGGTAGTTCAGTCTCCGTTTATCGTACGACCACAGGCTCTTGCAGAATTGCTTATGTTGGCTAAATTTCTAGGGTATGTTTGCGCCTTCCCCTACAATCGATCGCCCACTGCTTATGCCTGCCCGCAACAACTACAGCTGCGTCGCCAGTTCCAGCCACCGTTTGAGATGCGCACCCATCTTGAGCGAGCCATGCGCCAAGACAAACTACTCATCACGTTGCCCTGGCTGGTGCAGTATTTGGCCATGTTAGATGTGGTCACACTGCAGCTTCCTGCTGCGGTGGCTACGCTGGAATTGCTCTATGCGCTGTATGAAGGCGTGGTTGCTAATCAAAATCCGCAGTTCTTTATTATACGTATCTGCCTCGGTTGGCTATTGGAATCTCAGCCAGCGCTCAGCAGTGGCTACTACAGTCAAAGGAGCGCCAAATCCTTAAGTGGAGCAAGTGCAGCATTGGTCGCCGATTGCCTGCATAGTCTGAGCATTTCGTATAAGGGACAGGCAGCAGCACTGCTCGAGCAGCTCCTCCCAGTGGCGTGTCCCTTTCTTCATGAGTTTTGTGTCTCCATTACTCCCTCGCAGCGACAAGTGCAGCGGAGTGGACGCTTTCGTTATATAACCACTCGACTGGAACAGCTGAGTGGAAGCAAGAAGTTGCAATCTGCGCATAGTAAACCAGAGGAAACAGTTGATCCTTTGCAGACTGTGGAAGCTATGTCATCGGAGCAAAAGCAACGCAAATTGGTGGACGCCTTTCTACACTCACAGAACGCTTCCATGCGACGTCTATTGGAGTTTGTTACAGAGCGCAGCTTTAAGTGTGTGGTCAAGGATGCCCAGCAAACAATACTCCTGCCCTCCAAGGCTGCAGCCGATGCGCTTGTCAATGGGATTAGGTCCACGCAAGAGCAAGAGGTGCAACGTGAGCTGCAACGCATTTATCAACAGGCACGCATTCAAGCCTCTCAACAATGGTCAGAGCAAGTGCCTGCAATGTTAGAGAAACGCATCGAACAATCTTTAATGGCTCTGTTGCCCCTTAACACTCATGAGGTAGTGCGTCGCACTTATAGCCATTTGATTAGGCAGCAGGCTGAGCCACAGATACAGCAGTGGCTAGAAACGAGCGTCATACAATCTAATTTTTACCACGGTGATTTGCAGGAGGTGGCCATCAAGGTGTGTCGAGCGAACAAGAATAACAATCAGGCTACCAGCAGCAGTGGAACTTCCAATGAAATGTGCCTAACTGATGCGAATGGACTTAGTTTGTCCGGTATACTACATGAGCTACAGCAATGGGTACACTGCCTCAGCTTGAGACCCGAATATTTGTGTTATATGAGTGATTTGCAAGGATTGCTCGGAAGGACGAAAGAGGCCGTTCAACTTAAGCAACTGCCCAGCTATTTCTACCAGCTGATTGGATCTGTATTGGTGCGCCTGTTACAATTACTCATATTCCGTCAGCCACATTTGTTAACCGAGAACGTCATCAGTACTAGCTGCGAGGTGTGGCTAACACCTCAAGTGCGTGGCACTGATGAGGCAATACCTGCCTTTCTCGAAAGCCTGCTCAGCATCAGCTTTGTACAGGAGCTCAGCTCCGATCCTTCGAGCTTCCAGTTACTCCACCATCTGCTTCACGCTATGCTGAAAGCTCGCGTGCTCGGCATCGATCACCTCAATCAGTTATTTTTGCCGCTCTTCAAGGAGAATTGGACTCCGCCTGTGTGGAAAGCGTTGTCACAGGTGCTCCATCAATTGTCCAAAGATCACTCCGATAACGATAAAAGTAACGACGATGACGACGGAAAATCGCATTTGTTTATGGAAGTGTTAGCGGATTTGTCGCAAGATTTGGATAGTTTTTAAGCTTAAAGTTATTATTATATCATTCTTTGCATTTATCATAAAATTGTTAGTTGCTGTGAATAAACTCTATTTTTTGCACAAGCATTTGAGCTTTTCCTTTTTGTGTGCTCTGTAGGAAATCGATAAGATAAGAGCGCCGCTTATCGATACATGAATTGGCCGATTACGTCAACTTGACGAATTTGACGGTGTGAAATGAAACACGATAAATAGGTGTGTGTGTGTGCGAGGTTACCAGGTAAGCAGCGGGACAAACATATAGAAACAGTCAGTTATCTTTGGTATGTCGCAGATTAAGAACATTCCAGCATTGGTAGAGCTTATATACGATACAGGGTATGTGTATATGTGTAAAAATTGTATTTGAACAATTTTACCATTTAATGCAAATATGTTGCAAATACGAGTAGACGGCATTGAGATGTTTCAGTTTAGCTCAGTTTTCAACCACTGTGCATGTGAGAACTGCGTAATGTGTTTGTATGTATTCATGAAAGCTATGTTTTGTTTTCGCTATCTCTGTTCCTCTCTGTCTCTGCCTGTGTCTGTCAGTGTGTTTGTATGAGTGTGTCATTGTGCTAATTTTGTAAAATGCGAACGCTGATTATGCAATCAACGGGGATTCTCTCTGTTTCTAAGCCCAATTGAAATTAATTGTTGCTTACTCTATTTTGTTCTATTTCATTTTAGTTGTGCACGGGCGAACTTTGGCAGACATATTTGATGAGCAACCAGGCAGCAGTATTAAATTAAATTAAAGAATCACTACCAACTACGAACGAATATTAAACTTAACGAACTTAACGAGAAGAACCCAGTATGGAAAACTTTACGCCAAAAGAGGTGAAGATCCTCGAGACGGTCGAGGATATTCAGGAGCGTCGTGAGCAGGTGCTCTCGCGTTATAATGAATTCAAAATCGAGACACGACAGAAGCGTGAAAAGCTTGAAGATTCGCGTCGATTTCAATACTTCAAGCGGGATGCCGATGAGCTTGAGTCCTGGATACATGAGAAACTCCAGGCAGCCAGCGAGGAAAGCTACCGGGATCCAACCAATCTGCAGGCAAAGATTCAAAAGCACCAGGCATTCGAGGCTGAGGTCTCCGCGCATAGCAATGCGATCGTATCGCTGGATAATACCGGTCAGGAGATGATCAATCAGCAGCACTTTGCATCGGAGACTATTCAACGGCGTCTGGATGAACTGCATCAACTATGGGAGCTACTGCTCAGCCGTTTGGCTGAAAAGGGCCTGAAGCTGCAGCAAGCGTTGGTCCTCGTTCAATTTTTGCGTCAATGCGAGGAAGTGATGTTCTGGATCAAGGACAAAGAGACCTTTGTGACTGCTGATGAGTTTGGTCAGGATCTTGAGCATGTCGAGGTGCTGCAGCGTAAATTCGATGAGTTCCAAAAGGACATGGCCTCGCAGGAATATCGTGTTACCGAGGTAAACCAATTGGCCGATAAGCTTATCCAGGATGGCCACCCAGAGCGGGATACCATAACCAAACGCAAGGAGGAACTTAATGAGGCTTGGCAGCGTCTGAAGCAATTGGCCATTGTTCGCCAAGAGAAGCTCTTCGGAGCCCATGAGATCCAACGCTTCAATCGTGATGCGGACGAGACTGTCGCTTGGATTGCCGAAAAGGATGTGGTTTTGTCCTCTGATGATTATGGACGAGATTTGGCCAGCGTACAGGCTCTGCAGCGCAAGCATGAGGGAGTTGAACGCGATTTGGCTGCTCTGGAGGATAAGGTCTCCACACTGGGCGCCGAGGCACAGCGATTGTGCTCTATCCACGCGGATCATAGCGATCAGATCAGGGATAAGCAGGCAGAGATCGCCAACTACTGGCAGAGCTTGACGGCTAAGGCTCGAGAGCGCAAACAAAAACTGGACGAGTCTTACTATCTACATCGATTCCTGGCCGATTTCCGTGATCTGGTATCGTGGATCAATAACATGAAGGCCATCATCTCAGCCGACGAGCTAGCTAAGGATGTAGCTGGAGCTGAGGCTCTGTTGGAGCGTCATCAAGAGCATAAAGGCGAAATCGATGCACGTGAGGATAGCTTCAAATTGACCACCGAGTCGGGCAGGAAACTCTTGGAGCGTGAGCACTATGCTGCAGCTGAGATTCAAGAGAAGTTGGCTGCACTGGAGAACGATAAGAGCTCGCTGCTGTCTTTGTGGGAGGATCGTCGAATTCTGTATGAGCAATGCATGGACTTGCAACTGTTCTACCGAGACACTGAACAGGCCGATACCTGGATGGCCAAGCAAGAGGCATTCCTGGCCAACGAGGATTTGGGAGACTCCCTCGACTCTGTGGAAGCTTTGATTAAGAAGCACGAAGATTTCGAGAAGAGTCTCGCTGCCCAGGAGGAGAAGATCAAGGCACTGGACATCTTTGCCACCAAACTCATCGATGGTCAGCATTATGCCGCCGATGATGTGGCTCAGCGTCGACAGATGCTCCTCGCTCGCCGCGCTGCACTGCAGGAGAAGTCTGCAAAGCGTCGCCAGCTGCTTGAGGACTCGAATCGCTATCAGCAATTCGAACGGGATTGCGATGAGACCAAGGGTTGGATCAGTGAAAAACTGAAGTTTGCCACGGATGATTCTTACCTGGATCCAACAAATCTGAATGGTAAAATGCAGAAGCACCAGAACTTTGAGCATGAGCTGAATGCGAATAAGTCACGCATCGAGGACATCACCAATGTGGGCAGCGAGCTGATCGAGAAGAAGCATTATGCAGCGGATCAGATCAATACGCGTATGCAAGAGATTGTTGTGCTGTGGGAGACATTGGTGCAGGCATCCGATAAGAAGGGCACCAAGCTGAATGAAGCCTGCCAGCAGCAGCAGTTCAATCGTACCATTGAGGACATTGAGCTGTGGCTCAGCGAGATTGAGGGTCAGCTGCTCTCCGAGGATCATGGCAAGGATTTGACCTCCGTGCAGAATCTGCAGAAGAAGCACGCTTTGCTCGAGGCTGATGTTATGGCTCATCAGGATCGTATCGAGAACATCAATGTGGCAGCTAATAAATTCATTGAATCTGGACACTTTGATTCCGATAACATTCGCAACAAGGAGGGAAATCTTTCGGCACGCTATGCTGCTCTGGCTGCTCCAATGGCTGAACGCAAGCAACATCTGTTGGATTCACTGCAGGTGCAGCAGCTGTTCCGCGACTTGGAGGATGAAGCTGCCTGGATCCGTGAGAAGGAACCAATTGCAGCATCGACCAATCGCGGTCGCGATTTGATTGGCGTGCAAAATTTGATCAAGAAACATCAAGCTGTTCTGGCCGAGATTAACAACCATGAGGCGCGACTCCTCAACGTCATTAGCTCTGGCGAAAATATGCTTAAGGATCAGCCATTTGCCAGCGAGGACATTCGTCAGCGTCTCGAAGCGCTGCAGGAGCAGTGGAACACCCTCAAGGAAAAGTCGAATCAACGCAAGCAGGATCTGGATGATTCGTTGCAGGCACATCAATACTTTGCTGATGCCAACGAGGCGGAGTCCTGGATGCGTGAAAAGGAACCCATTGCCACGGGCAACGACTATGGTAAAGATGAGGATTCATCAGAGGCACTTCTCAAGAAGCACGAGGCACTTGTCTCCGATCTGGAAGCCTTTGGCAACACGATTCAGGCGCTGCAGGAGCAGGCCAAGAACTGCCGGCAACAGGAGACGCCCGTCGTGGACATTACTGGCAAGGAGTGTGTCGTTGCTCTCTACGATTACTCGGAGAAGTCGCCACGTGAGGTGTCCATGAAGAAGGGTGATGTTCTGACCCTCCTGAACTCCAACAATAAGGATTGGTGGAAGGTTGAGGTCAATGATCGTCAGGGCTTCGTGCCCGCTGCCTACATCAAGAAAATCGAGGCTGGACTCAGTGCATCGCAGCAAAATCTGGTGGACAACCATTCGATTGCCAAGCGCCAGAACCAGATCAACTCCCAGTATGATAATCTTCTAGCCCTCGCACGTGAGCGTCAGAATAAGCTCAATGAGACGGTGAAGGCTTATGTGCTGGTCCGTGAAGCCGCAGATTTGGCTCAATGGATCCGCGACAAGGAAAATCATGCCCAGATTGCTGATGTGGTGGGCGAGGATCTGGAGGAAGTGGAAGTGTTGCAGAAGAAATTCGATGACTTCAATGATGATCTAAAGGCCAACGAAGTGCGTTTGGCTAACATGAATGAGATTGCAGTTCAGCTGACATCGTTGGGACAAACGGAAGCAGCTCTGAAGATCCAGACTCAGATGCAGGATCTTAACGAGAAGTGGAACAATCTGCAAACGTTGACAGCCGAGAAGGCTAGCCAGTTGGGCTCCGCCCATGAGGTGCAGCGATTCCATCGCGACATTGATGAGACCAAGGATTGGATTGCCGAGAAGGCGAATGCCCTGAACAACGATGATCTTGGCAAGGATTTGCGTAGCGTCCAGACGCTTCAGCGCAAACACGAAGGTGTTGAACGTGACCTGGCTGCCCTACGTGACAAGATTCGCCAATTGGATGAGACCGCAAACCGCTTGATGCAGTCGCATCCAGATACCGCTGAGCAGACTTATGCCAAGCAGAAGGAGATCAACGAGATGTGGGATCAGATCATCACCAAGTCGACAGCCCGCAAAGAGAAGCTTCTCGACTCGTACGATCTGCAGCGATTCCTCAGCGACTATCGCGATCTGCTCGCCTGGATCAACTCCATGATGAGTCTGGTTACCTCCGATGAGCTGGCCAATGATGTAACGGGAGCCGAAGCTCTTATCGAACGTCATCAGGTGGGCCTTTGTTTTAATTTGATTTCAAAATTCCCATTTAATTATTTCATCTGCCTTGAGTTTTTATTTCTTCAATGAACGTTGTAATCCATTTGTATATATATCGATATATGTAATTAACTTCAAAATCTCTCGAAATCCGTTGATTTACGTTAACATTTGCATAATTTTAAAGCTTTTTAATCTTATCGATATACCTCGATATATATATGATCGACTGCAACGGTTTCTTGAATCTTTGACTATCTGAAGATATATTTGATTTTGTTATGTATGGAATCGTAATATGTTAAGTGAATATTATTATGGTTCCATTTCCTGCTCCCCGTTGAATATTTTCATTTAATTCTGATTTTCTCTGTGCATTCTTTTGTTTTGTTTTGCGGGGTATTGTCAATGTCAATGCCTCCACCCGAAACCAAATCTTAAATCACGTCATCAATCCAATTCAATTCAAACTCTCAACTCAACGTCTACTGCAATCAACAACAACTATAACAACAAACAATCAAACAAACAACAACAACAACAATAATGGTTCATGGTTCATGACAATATAAACATAAACTATATGCATCCCTGGTATTATTTTTCATCTTTAAATACACACAGGCACATCGTGCTGAAATTGAGTTCACGCTGGGCAGCAGCTCCGCCCCAGCGACAGGTGCATCAATATCCGGCGACGAGGTAGTTGTTCGTAAGCCATCATCATCATCGACATCAGCAACATGATCATCAACAGCATCATTATCATCATTATAATACAATATCTTACTTATCCATATCATCCCGTGTTTATATATCATTGTGCGTTGTATGTTCTTACCTTTTCTTCTTTTTGTATTTTAAACGATTTTTGGCTGTTGTCACAAAAGCTCGTTCAGCTAAAGCTTTCACTAGAAAATGCTCTCTTCTTTATGACTTCTGGCTATTCACAATGTTACCCTTAGAGGAGCCCACTTGTGAATCGGCAGTTGGAGTTGAATAACCTGTGTTCTGTATTTATACACAAATGTTTATAAAATAACACTTAATATTCTGAAATACTACGATAAACACAGCTCTGGTATACAAGAACACCCAAAAAAATCATATAAACCTTTCATTTTCAGTCATCAACCCATATGTCATTGATAATCGCCTTTAAGGACTGCAGACTAAGACATGCTTAAATTATTTTCAAACAATTTCTGGACAACTTAACATACAAACAATTCGTTTCGCTGCACGAATCCTTCTCGACTGACTCGATAGTTTGTATCGTTGATGAGCTGCGACTCCTTAATGATCTACTGACTCCAATCACATTCTGTACACATTCATCGACTCGCAGTCACCTTGCATATCATTTGTCAACTTTATGTTTCTGTTCGCCGTATTTGGTTTTTTGACTAATCTGTATTAGAAGCTGCAACGAATACAACAAACAGCCAATTAAAATAATTTCTTGTTGTTCTAACCCGGCGTTTATACCTTACCAAAATCTAAGATTCAACTAAAGCTTTAAGACTAATGCATTTTAATTATTAAATATAGGAACATCGCACGGAGATTGATGCCCGTGCTGGAACTTTCGGAGCCTTCGAGCAGTTTGGCAACGAGCTGTTGCAGGCTAATCATTATGCTTCGCCTGATATTAAGGAGAAGATTGAGGATTTGGCTAAGGCACGCGAAGATTTGGAGAAGGCCTGGACCGAGCGCCGTTTGCAACTGGAGCAAAACCTCGATTTGCAGCTCTACATGCGCGACTGTGAATTGGCTGAGTCCTGGATGTCTGCTCGCGAGGCATTCCTCAATGCAGATGACGATGCCAACGCTGGTGGTAATGTGGAGGCGTTGATCAAGAAGCACGAGGACTTCGATAAGGCAATCAATGGACATGAGCAGAAGATCGCTGCATTGCAAACTGTTGCCGATCAACTGATTGCCCAGAATCATTATGCCTCCAATTTGGTAGATGATAAGCGCAAGCAGGTGCTCGAGCGCTGGCGTCATCTGAAGGAGGGTCTCATCGAGAAGCGTTCCCGCTTGGGCGATGAGCAAACGTTGCAGCAATTCTCACGCGATGCCGATGAGATCGAGAACTGGATTGCAGAGAAACTGCAGCTGGCAACTGAGGAAAGCTACAAGGATCCAGCAAACATTCAGTCGAAGCATCAGAAGCATCAAGCCTTCGAAGCGGAGCTGGCTGCCAATGCAGATCGTATTCAGAGCGTGCTGGCAATGGGCGGCAATTTGATTGACAAGAAGCAGTGCAGCGGATCGGAGGATGCGGTGCAGAAGCGTTTGACTCAAATAGCTGATCAGTGGGAATATTTGACCCATAAGACGACTGAGAAGTCGCTGAAGCTAAAGGAGGCCAACAAGCAGAGGACGTATATCGCTGCTGTCAAGGATTTGGATTTCTGGTTGGGCGAGGTCGAGAGTTTGTTGACCACTGAGGATTCTGGTAAGGATTTGGCATCCGTACAAAACCTAATGAAGAAACATCAGTTGGTCGAAGCGGATATCGTTGCGCACGAAGACCGCATCAAGGACATGAACAACCAGGCCGATTCCTTGGTCGAGAGCGGTCAATTCGATACTGCTGGCATCCAGGAGAAGCGTCAAAGCATTAACGAACGCTACGAACGCATCTGTAATCTTGCTGCCCATCGTCAAGCGCGTCTCAATGAGGCACTGACTCTGCATCAATTCTTCCGCGACATTGCCGACGAGGAGAGCTGGATCAAGGAGAAGAAGCTGCTCGTCGGCTCCGATGATTATGGACGCGATTTAACTGGCGTGCAGAATCTAAAGAAGAAGCACAAGCGTCTCGAAGCTGAGTTGGCCTCCCATGAGCCGGCTATTCAAGCTGTTCAAGAGGCCGGCGAGAAGCTCATGGATGTGTCCAATTTGGGTGTTCCCGAAATTGAGCAACGTTTGAAGGCCTTGAATCAGGCTTGGGCAGAACTCAAGAATTTGGCTGCCACTCGCGGCAAAAAGCTGGACGAGTCGCTCACCTATCAGCAATTCCTGGCCCAGGTCGAAGAGGAGGAAGCCTGGATCACCGAGAAGCAGCAATTGCTCTCTGTGGAGGATTATGGTGATTCCATGGCCGCTGTCCAGGGTCTCTTGAAGAAGCATGACGCTTTCGAGACGGACTTTGCTGCCCACAAGGACCGCTGCTCGCTAATCTGTGAGCAGGGCAGCGACCTGGTTGAGGCCAAGAATCATCATGGCGAATCCATTGGACAACGTTGCCAGCAGCTGCGTAACAAGCTGGATAACCTAAACGCTCTGGCCGCTCGTCGCAAGGGCGCCTTGTTGGACAACTCGGCGTACTTGCAGTTCATGTGGAAGGCGGATGTTGTTGAGAGCTGGATCGATGACAAGGAGAACTATGTGAGATCCGATGAGTATGGACGTGATTTGTCCACTGTGCAAACGCTATTGACGAAGCAAGAGACATTCGATGCAGGTAATAGATATCAATTCCCGACTCAATAGTAAACGATTACTGAATGTGAATCCTTTGTAGGTCTCAATGCCTTTGAACAGGAGGGCATTCACAATATTAGCGCTCTGAAGGATCAACTGATTAATGCCAATCATGCTCAGTCGCCGGCTATATTGAAGCGTCATGGCGATGTGATTGCACGTTGGCAGAAGCTGCGCGATGCATCGGACACGAGGAAGCAACGTTTGCTGGCCATGCAGGAGCAATTCCGCCAAATCGAGGAACTCTATTTGACATTTGCCAAGAAAGCTTCGGCCTTCAATTCTTGGTTCGAAAATGCCGAGGAGGATCTCACAGATCCTGTTCGCTGCAATTCGATCGAAGAAATACGCGCGCTGCGTGATGCCCACGCCCAATTCCAAGCGTCTCTTTCATCGGCCGAAGCGGACTTTAAGGCATTGGCAGCACTCGACCAGAAGATCAAGAGCTTTAATGTTGGACCGAATCCGTACACCTGGTTCACCATGGAAGCTCTTGAGGAGACCTGGCGTAATCTGCAAAAGATCATAGAGGAACGCGATGGCGAACTTGCCAAGGAGGCCAAGCGACAGGAGGAGAACGACAAGCTGCGCAAGGAATTCGCCAAGCACGCAAATCTCTTCCATCAATGGCTAACCGAAACAAGGTGAGTGAACGACTCCATTCCCAGTCCTGTCTAGTATTTTACTATTGGTGTCGGTAACTTCATTCCTTCATCCAATCCAATTAAATTCAATTCTTGTTAACGAAAACAACTCTTGTGGTCACTCTCTGTGAAATCTCGCGTAATTTCGTTAAATCTCAAATAATTTCGTAACTGAAATGCTCAATTCTGTTTTTCTAGATATTATATGCTGGGTTATAATCGTCAAGGGTAATTAAGAAGAAACGAGAGGGACATCCGCAACTCTGCGTTGAAATTTCCTTAGTGTTTCTCGTCTTTTGTTTCTCATTATTGTTTTGTTTCCGTTTCTATTTCTGTTTCTGTCTGGCTAAAAGTTTAACCGCTGCGCGTTGCTCAACTAACAGCAAAAATTAAAAACTTGTATATGGAGTTAGCTTCTAGCTTCTCCTATACTCTGTACATATATATTTAACTTAGAAAAACCAAGATATTATATTTAATGCAAAATCTAGTTCTAGTTCAAGCAGCATTTAGCATCGATAAATCAAACGATTTCTTAACTATCGATCAATTTAGCGTTCGATTCAGTCCAAATTCTCTTTCTAACTTTTGTTTTCCTATTGCAATCAATAAAAAACAATTTAAATGCAGCATGTAAAAAAGTAGCATACAAGAAAACAACAGTAGTAAAAGCGAATTTTGCATTCAACCTTTTCGTTTAATTAGCTTTAACAAAATATATGTTGGCTTATTTTTGTTTAACTCGCTTCATAGTGATGTTTTGCCATAATTAGTTGCTGAATATATATAAATAAAAAAAAAAAATTATAATAAAAAACAAACTTTTTTTTTTGAGCGCAGAAAATTTTTTGATCGATATCTTGTATGCCAAAAGTTTTTTGAAATCCCCCATTTAAACAATTCAAAATCATTCTTTAATAATTGGCTTAAATATACGATATTTGTAAATGCCAAAAGTTTATTTTTTTTTTATTACAAAATTTAATAAAGAAAAATCAAACGCTCTGCTTAACTTTTGAATGTCTTTGCTGACGAAGTTTTAGAAAATTGTTTGGCAAACCTTTTTAAAATTCGTACACACACTCGTAAAACCGACTACAACACCTGTATATATTAAAGGACAACAAAAAAGTATTAGAAGAATTTAAAAAACAATAAAACTGCCGCCCTTAACCACAGACCTCTAACAAGATTTGCTTTTCTTATATGCATTATAAACCATTATACAACAAATTTATATATTTAAAAAATGCTTTGTGCTTTACTAATGAAACGCTTTTCTACTTTGAATACAAAAATTTACAAACAAATTTTGCGAAACAGAACTTCGATGATGGAAGGCTCTGGTTCATTGGAGCAGCAACTGGAGGCGCTTCGCGTCAAGGCCACGGAGGTGCGTGCCCGTCGTGTGGATCTAAAGAAGATCGAGGAACTGGGCGCCCTATTGGAGGAGCATTTGATTTTGGATAACCGCTATACGGAACACTCGACTGTAGGTTTGGCACAGCAATGGGATCAATTGGATCAACTATCGATGCGTATGCAACATAATTTGGAGCAACAGATACAGGCACGCAATCATTCGGGCGTCTCAGAGGATTCGCTCAAGGAATTCTCCATGATGTTCAAGCACTTCGACAAGGATAAGAGCGGCAAATTGAATCATCAGGAATTCAAGTCATGCCTTCGCGCCCTTGGCTACGATCTGCCCATGGTGGAGGAGGGTCAACCAGATCCCGAGTTCGAGGCCATTCTCGATGTTGTCGATCCCAATCGCGATGGCTACGTTTCCTTGCAGGAGTACATTGCCTTCATGATTTCCAAGGAAACAGAGAATGTGCAATCCTACGAAGAAATCGAGAATGCTTTCCGCGCCATCACCGCCGCCGATCGTCCCTATGTCACCAAGGAGGAGCTCTATTGCGTAAGTTTCGTTGGATATACCCATTATAAATGAATATTTATTAAATGTATATTCTTTTACTACTTTAGAATCTTACCAAGGACATGGCCGACTATTGTGTTCAGCGTATGAAACCCTTCACCGAACCGCGTTCTGGCCAGCCCATCAAGGATGCTTTAGATTACATAGATTTTACGCGAACGCTATTCCAGAATTAAATTTCGATGCGCCTGAGAAAATGTCTTACAATATATTTCTAAACAAAAATATACACATATATATTTACACGATTATTTTCGATGATAATTTTCTAGTGATTAAGTCTAACAGAATGCAATTTATGCTTATTTAAGTAAAAATGCCACAATGAACCCAAAAAACATGAACAGAAGCTGACATAAGCTGGCCGCTATATAACAATAATAATTTATATTTTCTACACATAGCTGACAGCTATAGAACTTTATATATTGGTAGCTTTTGCATTTATGTATTTGTCTTTATATAGCCCAAAAACAAAAAACCGAAAAATATCTTAACTCTTTGACATAATAAAAACTTAGTCTCAGTAAAAATATTTACAAAATGCTCTTAAATGTGAAATCGTATGCAATAAAATTACATAATCTAAAAGTTTCGCTTGCAATATAACTATCCAAATATTGGCTAAATATCTATCACAATTTATAATACCGAAAACCAATAACTACAAACTTTCAGTTTTTATGATCGGCAACTTATACGAAATGCAAGTAGTAAAATATGCAAAACAAAAAAAAAATATATACAAAGCGAAAATATTTATTTAAAAAAATATATATATTACTATTTGCCTCTATTTACACTTCAAATAAATTTGCAAATAAAAATATATTGCTGCATGTCTAAAAATGTTAAAAGTTAATGTGTTTTTATTTTGAAATAATTGAATTGAAGTAGTAAAATAAAAAGGGAATTGTCAAAGCCGAGTTTTTACTGTCTGATATATGGTAAAATATGGGAAAAAATATAGGCAAAATAAAAAAATTTTCTGGAAAGAATAAATATTGTTGGATGTCTAAAAATATAAATACTGTTTTACTGCAAGCATCTTATTGAAACAAAAAAGAAAATTAAAATAAAATTGGAGTTTCGAATATTCAAAATGAAAATGTGTAAAAATTTGTTAATTGGTAAAAGACATTTTTATTTAGCTATTTGGAAAAGGAAGTGAACAAATGCATAGGATGGTCTGAAGAGTTTGATTACAGTTTTTTGCAGAAAAGTTTATACAATTAAATAACTCTTTTATTTTGTCTATCATTATAGTTTATTTTTCAGACCACCTTCGTTCATACATGTATTAATATAAATTATATCAAGAATTTGTTTATGCTTTCTGCATATTTAGCATTATTTATTTTTTTGTTTAGCGTCTCCTTGGGCAGCCATTCGTATGGGACCGCTTGCTGCTCCACATTCACATTTCCGGCACGCAGCGATGCGCGATAGAAGAATATTTTGGCTCCAACGCTTTCCGACCTCTGCTTGCTGGGATATTTATATTTGTGGAAGCCAACCGGCGCATTGCCATAGAAGAGTACTTGCAGATCTTTGCCACAGCGTTCGCTCAGCACACGTTCCGCCGTCTGTCGCATGGATTCGCCATCCTTGCGCAGTCCCTGCGGTAGCACGAAATGCTCCTGCTCCCCAAGCTTTTGCTTGACAACCAAATAAAGCGTGTCCTCTAGGCAACGATCTGTGGAAGTAAGCTTATTGGCAGCATCATCGGGTGTAGTACGCGGGGCGACTTGAAACTTCTTCAGCTCCTCCTTGTACGCATCTTTCAGATCTTGGGCTGTTTGCTTGGCCACCGAGTCGTCAAGATCCACTTGCACTTTACCCTGCTTAATTAGCTCCTTCTGCAGCAAATCACGCTCATGCTTTAGCTCAAAATCAGATTTAAGACTGTTCTCGTACTCCACTTGAGACAGAAGATCTTGAAATTGACGCTCCAAAGGATTTAATGTCTTTGATACCACGGGTAACCTTTCGACCAGAATACCAGCATATAGATCCCATTTTTCCTTGGCGCCTTGTGTCGAAGTCGACTGTGAGCGGGTCAGTTGCTTAGCACTGATTAGCGTGAGGCGACGTAGCATTTTTAAGTCTTAATTTTAACTTTTTAATAAGCAAAATAATGTGCCTCTTCGATTACATGAGCATAAGGCGAATACCGAACAGCTGATCTGCTTGCGATAGTAATAGCGATAGCAATATTTACCAGTTGGTCAAAACATCGCTTGCAGTTGTAGGAAAACAGCTGCTTCGATAGAGTCGATAAATTAATTGAGTTCTTTCTGGAGCTCGATAACAATTCCAAACGTTTTGCGAGGACGAACACTTGCGTTGCTTTTATTTAAATAATTTGAGAAGTTCGCTGTAAGAGCTGACAAAATGTCTGGTTTGGAGTCCTACATCAACCACACGGTCTCCATTATCACGGCAGATGGACGCAACTTCATAGGGACCCTGAAAGGCTTTGACCAGACCATAAATATAATCATCGACGAATGCCATGAGCGCGTTTTCTCAACAACGTCAGGCATTGAGCAAATTGTGCTGGGTCTTCACATAATTCGTGGCGACAACATCGCTGTTATTGGACTGATAGATGACACCATCGATTCCCGGCTGGATTTGGCAAACATCAAAGGCGAGCCACTGGGACCAGTTGTGCATTAATTGTAAACGTAGATATAGTTCGAATAAATTGATGAAATTTTGATATTTATTGATATAGCTATTCTGTTTCTACACTAAATTTGATTTGGCGGCAATCGAGAGTCGCCAAATCTATGACGGCAACGCTCTGCGTTTTCGAGAAGCTTGGCAAGCAGACAAGTCGCGTTCGCTTTCCCCCGGAGCCAACATGCAAATCCGTTTCAAACTTTTCACAGTTACCCGCAAAGTAAACGTGTGGACATTCCTTCATTATGAACGGATCGCTGCTTATGTACGGGTAGCACGCCAAGGTGTCCGGCGCAGTGGGAGCTACGTGACCCCATTTAAGCGTGCAGCGAAGAGCTTCGAGTGAGGAGTCCAGCGCAGTACTCCTTAGTAAATCGGTGATGTTCTGACCAGCAGTTCCCACTACAAGAGCGCTATCCAGTCGACAGATATAAGGATTGGTCACAGATTGAAAAGATGACAACTGGGCGGCCAGTGGGAACATACACTTGTGAAAGGGCTGCTGCGGCAGCATAAAATTGGCTGGATCGTAAGCTCCAGGCATCACGTCCACGTGAATAGCTTTTGCCCACGATGCAAACCAGCTGTCCAGTTGGCTAATTGCTTGGACAGTATCATTTGCATTCGCTTGATGCCGCGCCACTTGAAGGGTCGGTACATGGGCCATAGCCGAGCTTCGCACGGAGTTGCCCGCCACAATGAGTCGCACTTGGGACTGGGCCTCAGACTTATTGTCAAAGCATCCGCTCAGCCAGTATTGAAACATATTCAAGGCGTCTACAAAGTTATGGGACTGCAATTGATCCAAGCCAGAGATTAGAATCAATTTGCTGTTACGTTTTACAGTCAGCGGCTTCTGTGGTCCACTCTCCAGGAAGAGTATCTTCTCCACATTAAAGAATCCCTCACTGTCTGTGTCACCCTTAACAGCACAAACGATGCCTGTGGCCAGCTTATGGGACTCTAAAAATTCGCCGCCCTGCAGTCGCACTCGCTGGAGCTCATCCTCTAGAATAAGCTTGTCCTCCGGTTCAGAGTAATTTTGTCTTTGCGGCTGTGGAGCCAGCTGATTCTCCTCGGAGATGTCTCGCAATATGCTTGGCTTGTGCGCTTGATGCTTGTATATGGTTCCAATGATGATGCACTGCACGTTCTGTTCGCCTCGCAGCTCGCACAACTTCATTATGGGCACCTGTGTGCCCCATTCCTTTAGAGCAAGCGGCGTCAACAGCCGCGTCATTTCTGCCAAGCGGTGAGTGTACAAATGGCAGAACTGCTTCTGATAATCGGTGGTTGTCAGCAGGTATGAGCTGCTCAAGTTCTCGTAGGCACAGCTTAAACGTTTGGCCATATTGAATTGTTTATTTATTCAGTAACTTTTGTAACACATTCAGCATTTACGCGCCAACAAAACACAATGCAATTAGAGATGGTCAATGGTGAACCATGAACGCTGGTATCGATGGTATCTCTTCGATGTGCCTGCAATGTAGCCCTGGTACATGGGTAGACGAATCGATGGCAATCGACGACCAGCTGATAATCAGATCAACTCGTTTACAATTTGCAGCGTAGAAAAAGTTTTGGGTGTTTGCAATAAAACGCTTATTAAATGCATTTAAACAATGTTTTCGATCAATAAGAACGCAGGCAACATGTTCAACTATGAATGGCAAAGTCTAAAGCTGCGCGTGTGTAGTGCCAAGTGTTGATTAGAGTGAATGCATGCACGCTCTTTCTCTGTATTGATTTTTTACGCATAGCACCAATTCCGAATCTCAATTTGTGAGACTCCCGTCTGGCTAGCTGGCTGGCTGGACAGAGGCGACTGAGAGATATGGGCGGCTCGGTGAGCCAAGTGTTTCGTTCGGGCTCGGCATTGCTCTCACATCGTGATGGCCATAAGGTCTCCAAGGCGACAGAGGAGAAAATTCAAACGCTTTTCGAAATACTGCGTGCCAATCCAAAAATCTCACTGCAAACTCTAGAGAGCCTGCTAATACAAATACCCAAAAATGAGAATATCCTGGTCATACATGACGACTGCGGCTACAATATACTGCAGCGCAGCGTTGGACTCAATCACATCGATCTCACCAAATGGCTGCTCCATCGCCATCGACCGGACGTTAATCGAGCACCCTGCTCCCTGCCATTGCACATTGCCACGCTCCGTGGCTATGAAGAATGTGTGGAGCTGTTGCTAAGGCATGGAGCTCGCATTGATGCCGATACACGAATGTGTTTTCCCGGCGCACATTCGCACAACTGCGAGGAGAGCGGAAAGTGGCATAGCAATGTGGACGATGTGAGCGAAAGGCTAAATACGAAGTTACAGAATGCTCTCTGCTATGCTATCGACGGTATATATAAATGTTACTGACATTAATTAATCTTTTAACGGTTCATTTTTTCTTATTAGGCGATCAGTATAATGTGCTAAGCATGATGACGCAAAAGATGGAGGAGCCTTGGATACCATTTAGGGCTAAGAAACCCTTGCTTCACTTGGCCTGTGAGCGTGGCGCTTGGAATTGTGTGCAACAGCTTGTGGTGACACGCTCCGAGGAGATAAACCTGATAATGGATGAGTATTACCCCATACACCATGCTGTGCTCCATGATGGACGCTTTCTCGAGCTGCTTATACAACACGGTGCAATAACCACAGTGCGAACCTGCACACAGCAAATGACCCTACTGCATGTTGGTGCGTCTAAGATCAACTCACTAAATGTTTATCAAAGTATTATTTAATAATAACTTCTCTATTGCAGTCATATTTGCCGCTCGCAAATCTGCTGAGGATACGCAGGCCACATTGCGTATATTGCTTGATCGGGGATGCAAGGAGTTGATAAATGCACCCGACTCGTTGGGCAACACGCCTCTGCACGCATTGATTGTGCGCTATGCTTTAGAGGAGGCACGTTATGGCTATGATAAATGGAGCAAATGGGATGTATTGCATTTGGTAAGATTTTTGTTGCAGAGTGGCGCTAAGCCCTCAATCAATCAGGCAGGCAACAGTGCCATGGCATGTGTATTTCGTCATTTACGTGATTGGGAGGTTTGCTACGAGCTGCTCAATATGCTAATCAGAGAAGATGGTAAGTTTTAAAAAGTACTCAGTCGTCAACAATAATATCTTTTTCTACATTCTCTCTGTAGGTGATCCAAACATTGTGGGCCGTGATGGTTCAGTGCCCATAATGGTGTTGTTGGTGCCTTTGATTAACAAAGATCACCTACATCACTTTACGCATTCAATGAAGGTAAGTTTTCTCCGCTTGTCGGCCCACACCGAGATATGATATAATAGTTTCACATACTTTTTAGGTCTGCTATTTGAATTGCATTCGCATCTTGTTACAACATGGCGCAAATCCCAATTGCTCGTATAGAGCCAATTTGAAGCCTTTGCACGTGCTGGTCTTTACGGTCAGTGAGAATTTTACGCTTAACTGTGATGCACAGAAACGCACAAACTTTGATTTTATCAAGAATATATTGCTGCTGCTGCTGCAGCACGGCTTGGACTGCAACAAAACATATCAGCACATTCTGCAGGCCGTTATGGATATGGTCCAGAACGTGCGCACTTGCCAGGATATGGAATGCATATATGAATTAACCCTAACGCTCATTCAATATGGAGCCGACCCAAATATTGTGTTGAGCAGCAAAACAACACCGGGCATTGCAATTTTCTCCAGCGAAATTGCCAGCTATGGCGAAGCACTTGGTGGCGCTGGAGCTGGTCCTGGTGCCGGTGCTGCTGGAGGTGGAGCAGCAGGTGGGGCGGGTGGTGGCGGCGGCGCCGCAGCTGCTGCACTGGGTGACAATACGTTTCGCAATTCGTTTCGCACAAATTCACGCTATCTGCTTTTCTACTATATTATACTGATAACGAAAAAAGAATTTATACTCAACGATCCGCAGCTGACATTCACGCGCATCATTCATCTCTTCTATCTAACCATGGAGCACGATCCGCTCTACAATTGCCTCAAGTCTTTGCACAATTTCTACGTTGCCCAAGTGCCCAACAAAAAGACCGAACAACTAATTGCCCTCATCTCCACGCTCTATCGAAAGCCTCGCAGTCTTAAGCAGCTGGCACGCATGGCCATTTACGAGGCGATGAACCGCAAGCTGGCGCAGAATATAAATCGTTTGAATTTGCCGGGTCCGCTAAAGGATTATGTGCTGCAATTTGAAAGATAACAAGTGCAAGCAATTGATATATTATCTACATAGAGCGTCGTCGAATGTTAACCCTTTAACGACCAATGACTAATTAGAATCAACTGCAACCAATCATTATTGCAATTGTTTTGTTTTGTTGCCCTTTAAGCTACATACATACATATATCACTAACCATACAACACTTAAATGGGACACACGAAATATTTAATTGGCTCCCTCAATTCGGAGAGCATATCTGCTGAGAGGCATAAGCCTAGTGAGTTTGAGCGGGATAGCCAATCTCTGCTTACTCTAGAGGCACATACACTCTTTCTCGTTTGAGTGTGAGATATTGCAAAATAGTTGAAGACTTCGTTCGCTAGTAGGAACAAGTTAACCTTTGCATAATTTACGAGAATGACAAAATCAAGATTATTTCTGTTGATAGAATTTGTTGTAGATGTCCCATCTATCTGTTCAATGGGTTAGTAGCTTTATGTAATATGTTACATACTGTTATGATATACCTATATGTACATGTATCCATGCATTATATAATTATTATGAAAGTAAGATATGAAAACGCTTAAATGTACCTACAAAAAAAAAAAAAAAAAAAAAAAAAAACATTTAAATCAAACATGTGCAATTTCTTTTATATGAATCTATTGTTCAAAACGCTCATAACTAAAATATGTATTGTGAAATATTCAATTGTATAACTTTTACGGCCCACCCTCGCCCTTAAGCTATTTCTTATGCCTACAAAGAACCCAAATAACAGTAAAACACTAACTCTCTCTCTCTCTCTCAAAAAACACACACATTTACATCTATAGACATCTGCATAAAGT